TTCGTAAAGCTCACTCTGAGCTGAGATATGTTCGAAGCTGAAGGGATAAATAGTCATCTCTCACATATAAGTATTCCCTAGAAATGTATTAACCATCTGCTAAGACCACTTTACAGTGCAGATGGCTTGAGAACAGAGAAGTTATGACTTTGAAACAAAAGCTGAAACGAAAAAAGAATCGAAAGAAAAAGGAAGTAAAAGAAAAAAGGACAATCAGAGTTGATATTTCAAAAGCAGAATTCCCTTTAACCCCAGCATAACCAATCAATACGCACTTTTTCTATTGACAAGGCAAAACTAGGTTGACAAAGAACCACACTCAGTTAACGCTTCCAATAAGGTTCTTACCAATCTCAAGTTAGCTTATCAATGGTAAGATACATACAGTTGATGTTGTCAAGAGATGAATTATCCTAGAGGGCATAGGTATATTACGACGGACTAAGACTACATGTTAGTGTTCATTCCGTATCCGTAAGCTAAACAAACGCAAAATTTCGTACTACTTTATGCCACGACAAGTTTGTTAAAGTACTGAACTGACCAATACTAGCAACCAGTACATGTGGGGAAAGAAACTCGCGAAAATGGCAATAACCGCTTCTTTTTTCCTGAAGCTTAACTTGTTAAGATGAAAATCAAGAATATAATTGATGTTTACAGCGCCTACGCTTTTGGAATCCACTTTCCCACAAATACATGCCAATCTTACAACATCGAACCCGAGCTCAAACTTCTTATCGAAGCACGGTCGACTTACCGAAGGAATTGTAAAGGACTGGCGATGGTTTAGTTCTTAACATCCATGGTCCTGCATTGAAAGTCTGCACACGGTGGAGCTGATGCCCTCCTGGCCGTAGTACGGACACATTTGACGCATGCTCCACTCTGGCATCCTGTCGGGTATGTATTAGTATTTTGTTTTCTTTTTCTCATTTGGGAGACTAAAATGTGATAAATTCGACTATCATGCTGATTGCTTTGTGGTAAACACAATGGTTAGCAGCTTCCAATTGATTTGCACGTCACTAGAGTGCTGACTCATAAAGTCGCGTTAGTTCTCGGTACTGAGTCTATCGAATTAACTTCGTTAAGTACTTTGATGTCAGTTGCTTGATTTTGGACTTGTTTTGTGAAATTCTAAGATTATCGTTACTCAAGCGAGCTATTTTGTGAGCGTGGAGCAGTTCCTCTACGAACTTCGTGAACTTTATCCCCGTACTGCTTATAGGACTATGAGTTTTGATTCGGTGAGTGAAGAATCTAACTCGAATGACGTACCTACAGCATCTTTGAACTCTGTCAACGGTCGTCGTGTATCCAAGGAGCAACCTGGTTAGTGTTTCAATAATCTTTCGTTGTTGATTTGAATGTGAAGCCATTTTGGATCTGCGTGAATGTTTCCGTCACATTTAGATGCCATGGATATTTCACCAAGTTCTTCTCATGAACGCCGATCGCGCAGAGGATCGAGGGATAGGGAGCGTTCGCTTAGCCCTCGTTACAAGTCATATAAGAGGAAGAAACGAGAACGTACTCCTTCATCATCACCACCTTTCGACCGAGATCGTGGTTCAAGGTTGAGTTATTGGAGAACGATTTGCAGAGTTTGTTTATAAATGTTTTAAGTTCAGTCGAAGGTCACGCTCTCGTTCTCGACGCGACCGAGACAGAAGCCAAAATGGAAGGGATCGGTTCAAAAGGCGAGAAAGGGAAGATAGAAAAAGTAGGAAGGAGAAGAGAACCAGGTAACATCGGTTTTGGTTTTCATAGTCTTTCTGCATCTAGTTGACCCTGAAATTTCTGATATTTGAGCCATAATACATCGTATTTGCTTCTTTCAGGCGTGGTAGATCTCGAACACCACAGAGAAGGAAAAGTGGAAAGTCACGGAGACGACGTTCAACAAGCAGCGACAGTAGTGATGATCAAATAACGTGAGTTAGCGAGTTTGTCACGTTGTGTTCGATGACTGAAAGTTTTTCTAGACTACTTCGTCCAATAGTATTCCGACTTCAGAAAAACATACCTGCCTCACTGCACCTTTATTTTGTTTCAAATCAAGCTACAAGGCGTGCACTATAATAAAGTAGGAACCTCACCTCATCAACGTTAGATCTGGATCTTAAAATTCGTTACAGCATTTTCTCAGAAATATCGCTACAACTCATCCTTGAAATGGTTGATTACAAACGCGCACTGTAAAAATTGTCGCACTCCTTATAGACGGTGACTTTGGCACCACCGATTTTCAAAGAATGATATGGTCTACAGAAGATATGGTCCACTTAGCTGACGTTTTAATTTACCAGCATTTGTTTCCACTGAGACCTAAAATAAGCTTATGAGGGTGTGTAATGGTGTGCGTGACGTTGCATGTTCGCTGACCGTTGTATACTCTAGTGGTTATTAAGGACGGAGATGTTTCTCTGCACAAGCTTCATCTCCTCTAGGGTTCCAGATTGAAGTCGAACTAATATTTTTGGTCGACTTTACTTTTACTACAGGAATTTCTATCATACTGATAGAAGGCGCACCGAAGTATGTATCTAGTAGTTTCATCATTGTAAAGCGGAACATGTTCTAACATTCCTTTTTTTATACGATCCGTATTCACATCTAGTGTGCATCTCTCACCAGTTCATGCATTCGATTCTTTTCCTCACATCCATTATTCACGAAGGTCTTCGAACTTTACACGTGTGGGTTCGGCTGTTACTTGAGGATTATCGTTTTCTTTATGGATGTGATGGAGTGCTGGCTGAGTCGGTCCTACGATCTCGATTCTCCTTGGACTCAGCCGAGTTAGAGGGTTCTCACTTCGATTGCAGAGAGTGGACTGTCCCTGGACCGGGTAATACCAGTTGCTCGATCCCGAAGGGATGACAGGTTTGGTTGGTATGCGGTTGAGCTACCGTAATGCTCGCGATTGACGGCATCACTACCACTGCGTTACCCATCGGTTAAAACTCAAAGACGCCGTTATATTTGACAAATGGTTGAAGATAAAGTGACCTGGACACGTAATGCGTATGGGCAGCAAACGATTGACAAGGGCGACTTGATTTTTCTAGTTGTAAAGCGTATAATAGAAGGATCACTGATCCAATGATTAGAGTTGTTCACGAAAACTAAGGGAGAGATGTAATGCTCTACGAGTCCCTTATTGAGCGGAACCCATTGAACTACTCGTGCATGTGACGGAGAGAAATAGACTTGCTGGTGCCCTAATGATTCACTTGATTACCAAAGGGTCGACAGATGATACAGGTGACATGTATGTATACTTTTATATTTACATGTACATATACGTATATGTATATATATATACATATATAATGCATATGCATGTACACGTACATACCATGTGTATTATGTTCATATATGTATCGCTGTGCTCTGAAGTTCGATGCCTAGAACACCATGAACTTGAGGAATCGAGCTCAGCTTTACGAGCGCAAAAACATTCACTGATTTAGTTCCATATATGGACCTAGAGACATAGTGGCGGCAACGGCGAGAGCTGCTGAGTGGAATAGTTAATTGCACATATAAGAACTAGGTTATTTATTTTTTTTTTCGAATTGTTCTTCGTTTTGTAAATATGCTACATGTTGGAAATACTTGACCAAGGTGGCTACGAATGAGTTCTGTCTTTCAAATCTCTAAAGAAGCCACATTTTCCGAAAAGTGTGAGAAATCAAATATGCATGGTATAAAAGGCTTTTATTGACTCGTCAAACGTGCACGTGCTAATATTCACATTGAAAGTCCAGGATGTGGATTCCAATCAATCACACCCTTGTTGACTTATTTTAGTACAATTTGACAAGGTTCTGTGTTAGTCAAAGACGTGATAACCCTGAATGCACCATTTTGAGATTTCTGGCGTTGGTTTCAGTTTTGTTAGGGTTCTATATGGAGAATACCAAACTGCTTTGGCTTGGGATGTCTTGCCGAATAGTGAACCTTTGTTGCACATTTGGACATTGAGAAGTACAGCTTCGTCATATGGTATAGTAAAACATCAAGAAGGGAAATGGTGCTCACTCTTGTTAACTCATGAAAGCTTGTATGTGTTTAGCTTTGGGTTATGATAGAACGTGGAGTTATTGATTTTTGTGGACTTGTTCTTATCAGTTGAAGAATACGAACAAAGTATTTTAACGTTTACGGTGGCGGAACAAAAGTATTTCTACTTATAATGCAGTGGTATTCATTGGAAAAGTCTTGCACTTATACTCGATGTTCATTTTTTTTCGTTTCATAATGCCTTTTTCAGTTTACGAGATCGAACAACATTGTTCGGCGAGCTGGTTCGGAAACATGGTGAATCAGCTGATGCACTCATTAGGAATCGTGACAAACATCGCAAAATGAAGCGACGAAAGAGGGATAGCTCTACTAGCAGTTCAAGCAGCGATGTGAGTCTTGAGTTGAAGCTCTGTGTGTAATGTTGGAAATTCAAAGCGAACTTGTTCTATACTCGGCTGCTCTTTGAAGCATGTTTGTAAAATTTAGTGGATTAAAGCGTAGCTTCTATGCTTGTTGTTGAAAACAATTCAGAGATGACAGGGAGAACATTTAGCACTTTTCGTGTGAGCTGTCGTTGTTTGAACAGTTCATGCTGCAAAAGTTGAAGTTTGTTACACTTCTTAATTTTTAGCTGTTTAATTAACTATTTAACAATTATCTAACCAGTTCACAATTTAACTGTCAGCTTGATGACGTAATTGTGTGAATCTTTATGTCGTTGCACAACAACATGTTTTTTATTTTAAGGATGGAAAGAATATTGAGAAAAAGCCGACAAATGTTCCCATCTCTATACCAGTGGCTTGTCCTCCTCCAACATTTCTGGACCCATCTACTGCGCAGTATTATCAATTGGTGAATCGGAACTACGACCTAATTCTTCATTTTTCTATTTTCTTTTCAGGAGAAATTATTTGTTGATTCTAGTGCATAATTCTACAAGATACGGAAATTCTTATTTCTAGATAACAGCAAGTGGGCTTGTTGTGCCCGTGGCCGTTCCTCCACCTTCAGTTGTTGGAATGCATCTTCCCCCTCCACCTATCCCACCCGTTCCGGGAACTGATGCTAAGGTATTACATAGGTAGAAACAATAGAGAGGATTTCTTTTTTCGCATCTATTTTTTTTAGGTTGTTGCTCCTCCTACAACAACAGTTGTTGTTCCACCGCTGAGCAGTATACCAGTACCTCCTCCTCTGCCACCTCTTCCTCCTCCCCCTTTTGAAGTTGCCCCACCTCCACCACTTCTTCCTCCTGAATCTTTGACGATACCTGAAAAAGCATCGCTTATCAGCGCTGATCCTGCAGTGCCATCCGGATCAGGGTGTACACATACCAACTCTGCAAGCCAAGTTCGTGGTTCAGCACTACCAATGCCGAATGTTTCAATGATCAAGAAACGAGGTTTTGATCGTCCAACGTCAGTTATAAAAGTTTTCGTGTACGTTTTAACTTCAGATTGAGATTTCTCACTACCAGTTACAGAGTCCTTAACAAAATTAGAAGAGATATTGATTTGTCTATGGAATGGGGCAGTGGTTTTGTTGAAAAGTACGAAATATTGTATCAAGTCGGTGAAGGTACTTACGGGCAAGTGTATAAAGCAAGAGATAAAATTACAGGTTAGTACGATATTAGTATGAATTCGATTTAGCCAGGTGTACGTCGTTCTTCCGTCTTCTAATTAATTTCTTAGGTGAACAAGTCGCATTGAAAAAAGTGAGACTTGAAAATGAGAAGGAGGGGTTTCCAATTACCGCTGTTCGTGAAATTAAAATTTTGCGGCAACTCAACCATCCAAACGTCGTCAAATTGATTGACATTGTTACAGACAAATTGTCTGCTGCTGATATGCGCACGGAAAGAGGTCCGTGGAATTTCGTCTTGTCCTTTTCTAGTTTGTTTCTTGTTAATGGGTGAATAGAGGTTTGTTTTTTCAGCAAATTTTTATTTGGTATTCGAATATGTGGACCACGATCTAATGGGGTTGCTTGAGGCATCACATCTTATCAACTTTCATAATGATCAGATTCGTAACCTATTTAAGCAGTTGATTTTAGTAAGTTTTATTCGTTCTTATTCCAACTGTTTACGCCAGCTTTTCATATTTAACGTGATGTGTGGTCATACGAAATGTGAATCCCCACTTCCTACACTCGGTTCGTTTTTGTTCATCCATCACCTTCTGAGGTTTTCGAACTTTTTGTGTATGGGGTCCGACTGTTGCTTGAGGGTATTCGTCTTCGTTGTGAATGTCGTGGAATACTGCATGAATCGATTCTCCTTGAAGTCCTAGGATAGCCGAACCAGAGTGTTTTTGTGAGGATTTGAGGGAGAGAAGTGCGCTAAGGGAAGTCCGATAGTAATTTCCCTAGCCCAGAGGTATAGGAGCGTTGGAAAGTCCCGTACGGGATTAACTCATGAAGGACATTATCAATATCCTTTTAATATGTACGGAATTATTTATTGACCATTCGTGGATCTCATTGTATACTTTCGTGATCGCAGCTTTTTTCGTGAAACTTTTTCACCTTTTTTAATTTGCCTTAAATTGTTATGAATGGGGATCAAGCTTTTATGATACTTCAAGAATTTCGCTCTTTCAGGGCCTTGAGTATTGTCATTCTGCCGGATTTTTGCACCGTGATATTAAATGCAGTAACATTCTACTAAATAACAGGTCGGCCACTTTTTGGTATAAATTTTTCCATGTATAGACTATATATAGTATAACATATGTATAGCTATACACCATATATAGTACATATATAAGAAAATAAAAGCTCTCGGCATAGATCAGTCTCTGTGGGGTGTGCTGTGCATTCGTGATCGAATGCGTATCTGGCCTATGCAATAACTCACAGTGGCCCACCGATGTATCCAGTCAGTGATGTTATCTTCCCAGACATGTCTGGTGGTATCAGTCTGCTGAAGTAGGAGGGATGGAAGGCTTGGTGAGCCTTGGGCTTGGGGTCGAGCTCATATATATTGCAAGGTATCTCAAACCATAATTTAGCGCTATGCACCGTCCATATATAATATACTGTTCTTCCGTTTCTCTTGTCGTAACGTGGAATATGAATCTGTGTACATACATATTCTTTGAAATTTATTCCTTCTATAATCGGATATATAATATCGGCGGATAATTTAGATGAAAATGCTTTTAATCGTTTAACACCTTATTTTTCCTTTTACAGAGGCGAGATAAAGATAGCAGATTTCGGTCTTGCTCGATATTACTCATCAGATCAGGAAAGGTTGTATACAAATCGAGTTATCACGCTGTGGTATCGACCACCAGAGCTGTTGCTTGGGGATGAGCATTATGGCCCAGCAATTGATGTCTGGAGTATTGGGCAAGTCGTTTTTGTCCTAACGCTTATCATTCTTATCGTTGTGTTTTCTTTCTTTTTCCGTGTCTCGTTGACTGCTTCTACGGCCTGTTTAAGGTTATTCTTGATATTTAGATGCATACTTGGAGAGTTTTTTACGAGGAAACCACTATTTCAAGGAAATAACGAGGCTGCGCAGTTGGACCTCATCTCCAAGGTATTTTTTAGGCAATATAATGTTTAACACATCGACAACGATACTTTTCTTTCGATAGCCGTAGGTAATTTCTCGACGCCTAGAGTATTCATAGGTTTGAGGGTTTGTTCATTGAATATACTTTATGCTGCCGCTATACTTGTTTATCTCTAACTACTACTGTAATTTAGTTTGAATTTGAAGTCGTAAGGTATATTTATGGAACCAGAAGAAATCAAATTTCTGACGTACGCTTGGTAAATATCTGGATATATCCGCGCCGAGCAACAAGTTTTTACCACTATGTCCTTCTGAATTAATAGTTCCTTTTTTGATTCTTTCAACAACATAGCAACGGAAAGTAAAACGGTTCCTGAGCTCTATGAAATTAGGATCTCATCTTTACAGAATAAGTAAGCATGTAGCTTCTTTGCAAACAACTTATTAATTACATTTCTTCTTATTTAAATTGATAAAGCTCATTGTGAGGTGATATGTGTTCGCTTGCAGTTTGAGGACTAAATTATTTTCGGCTGTGGTGTTTGTAAAACGTGGTGGTGCAGTGGGTAGCACGTGAGCTCATAAATAGAAAAAAAGTTTTTGGCTCTGTTCAAATTATGTTCAAATTAGCATCGTTTTTCGCGAATATTTCAAAATCGTTGATCGTCACGTGGCACCAATTTAGGTGTGTGGCTCTCCTAGTGTAGCTAACTGGCCGGATGTTGAAAAGATGCCTCTTTTCAATACTTTGCGAAGTAAAAAACAGTATGTGAGATGCTTACGAGAAGAGTTTGCCCAGTGAGTTATTTTTTCCGCTTAAACGTTCTTGGAATTAGTTCCTTTGAACAGTTAGTATGAAAAAAATGCTATGATATCGGAAATTGGTACCGCTTACGTTAATTCCTTGTAAAACGTTTAGTTTTGTGAAACTTGTTTCAAAAACTTCTTAGTTCCTGAGAATATTACCAATTTAGGTTAGTGCCATCAGGTGCTATTGATCTCATGGATAAGATGCTTCTGCTTGACCCAAAGAGGAGAATTTCGGCGAAAGATGCTATAAACCATTTTTGGATTAAAAATTTCGACTATTCTACTGTGCCTCCTTTGAGGTTACCTCAACATCAGGTATGGGTTGTAGAGCTAAATTGACAACTCGACTATAGTTGCCCGTGCTTGTGCTGATAGTCGTATCTTCCCGTTTTTCTTTATATGGCGTAGCAAATTTATTGCTTCTCATCTACATATTTGCAAGGCGTAGTGAAGTTTCCTTATTAAACCGGTCAAAAAGCCGGAATATGTAGTTTTTCAAAATGGAAAAAGTTGAGTTTTGAGAAAATGATCTAATAGGATGAACTAGTGGTCAAGCAGAATTTTCCGGACTATTAATACTTTTAGGACTGCCATGAGTTGTGGAGCAAGAAACAACGAAAAGAAAGACGATCAATTAATCCTAGAGTGACATCTCAGCAAACTGAAGGGCATGATCCAGAATTACCTAGCTATCTCTCCGCACCAAGTTCTACGGGTCAACCACTGCAGTTTGAGAGAAGACGAAATTCGCCAGCTAATGGATACACGTCTACTTCGATCAATCCCACGAAGCTAGATGGTAACTACTGTTTCTACCTCTTTGAGGAAAATTTGGCTATTTCTCACATTGAGTCATCTATTTCATTTTAGCCATAGAACAAGCTCTGTACGCAGCAATCCATACTTCAGACACTTCACATCTGATAAGGTTGCTTCAGTTTACAACTGATGCTGAAGACTCCTTTATATTAAATAAACTATCGGTAGGATCTTTTGTTCGCTGACAATGGGATATGGTCATAATCATCTCGTTTCAGATATATTTTTTGAAGAATTAGGGCCATCATTTCTCTGATGATTCCTTGTAATGAGGTACACATTGTATTTTAGCAGTCAGCTCAGTTCAATGTGCAGTTCGCTGATTCGAGGTCGTCGAAAGAGCGCTTGCTAGAGCTCTTGTCCATCAGTGCTTATACTGGTAAGAAATGTGCTGTTCTAGAACGTATAAAGTGAGCATGGTGATTTCTAGAGCTTAGAGATTATGATTTCTCGGAGGTCTCCAACCAGCCCAAATACCGTTTCGTAGCAGATGGTATGTTAAATGTACTATAGAAGTATTTTATCATTCTGCTTGTGAAATCTAGATTACAAATACGTTTCAAAATCGTTCACGGTTTTTTTTTGTTTAGTTTCCTTCCATGCGCAGTCTGTTATTGCCGTAAGTCATTATCTTTTATTCAAATTTAGTGAACCCATACCTTCAGGTTCGAGTTCATCGTCGACTAATTTCATTTCTGGAAGTGTTCTCCATCCAATCACTGCAAACCCTAATTCTGTCGAAGGATCAAGTCACCGAGTTGGTTCTCGCAACCCACAAACATATAGATGAGGAGAGCAGGAAAACTGCGACCATGAAACAAACAGGGTAATTTCAACATAATTTGTGGATGCATGTAATAAAACAGTGATAAGTAAAGCATATAAAGTATTCAAAGCAGTAAAACAGTGCACAAAGTAATAATGTCTAAAAAATTGTAAAATTACATTGTAGTTTTAGTGTAGCGGATTTTCGCACTTCAAAATTACTAATGAGAGCTTGACGTTAAAGTATCAAAGGTCTCAGAATAATAATTTGATGATTCCGAGGTTTTATGAATTTTCTTCACATCCAGAAAACAAGTTTGTATTATGTGTTGTCGGTTGTGCTTCTTCATTTCTTTGCATCTTCCTGTATTTTTGGTGTTATATGTTAACTTTAAGGAAAAGTTGTTGGATTTAGAGAACATATTTTGTGATTACAAATAAGACGATCGGTCATATTTTGGATTTACAAGTTTTTCTTTCGCGACAATTTTGTTTATCAGAATGTACGAGGATGGATATATAATGTGAAATATATGAAGAATGTCTAATGTGCCTTTTCTTTGACACTTTGTTTGCATCAGATCAGGAAATTGTTCTATAAATGAAGGCCGAAATTCATTTCTAAACAATCAGGTAAGAAGCTATCTAGAAATGAACACTAGCGAAAGTTAGTTTATGTCATCATCAACACAGTATTGTATGGAAACGCTACACGAAGTGGTTCCCAGATACTTAAACTTTGTTTCTTGGAAATAATAATGTTGAGTAACCTCTGTAGCTTGAGTTGAGTAACTTCATCTCTACGCTCCGTAATTATTTTTTTCTGGATTTTAGATGACTGTTGAGCAGACTATTTTCAGGTGCTGCCGAGTTCGGTCTAGGATGTGGCCTATCACCGGTCAGCACACAACCCTCTATAACGTGTTATTCGATGTCAGCCCGATTCCCTTGTGTCCATTACGTTTGTACTTGTTCACAAGTGACGCCTTTTGAGAATGATGTTGTTCATTAAATTATATAAAATGTATTAAATAATACGGCTGAAATGTCAGAATCACGAGTTGGCAACCTTGATCACCTTTTAGGAATATGTAAAGGTGGTCGGTAGACAAGTGAATTTCGCTGTGATCGTTCTTCTATATGTATACGATTTCTTTATTAGTTACTAGGAAACTAGAATCATTGAATCCTAGCTTCACGTTAATGCAGTAGTTGCCGAACTCTGCTCGGTGTTCCACTTCTCCTCCAGGTGTTTCCAGGGATTGTCTGTCATGGCTGGGATCACATAATTGCGGATATCTACGTCCTAAAATCGTAAGTATTGAGTTTTCCCATTCTAACTTGGTCGTACGTTTTACAAAGCTTTCTGAATTTTGTCATGACTTCTGCTTAACCCTTTTGAGCTATGAAAGAAGAATCGTGGGTTAATGCACATTGGATGGGGCTGTATGGTCCATGAACCACTACGCAAACTAACAAGTGCTTTGTGCAAAGTTAAATGGTTGAAAATGAAGGATTTGGAAACTGGAAGTCGGTTATGTTGATCAATCCTTGATTAGTGGTATGACTACCAAATAGTTGATTCTATTTCAATTAGACATGCAGTTGCTTGTTGAAATGTGCTTAAATCAGTAAGTACTGGTCAAGACAATTCATGAAGGAGTTACCTGCTCCTGCAGATGAGATTGATTACTTTTATTACAGAAGCCTGCCGATTGTCCACGTGAAGCACTGTGCGTTCTTCCACTATTATGCCATCCTCGGTTGGTTTGGTAGTGAGTACCACGTGCACCAGGACTGAACGGGTGGCGAGGAGCGGACCATCCATTAGGGTTATTCCGACAGTCTTGGTATGGATTCGAAAACTGCTGCTGTCGGGGAAAACCCGTACGATGGTAACCAGCTTGGGATCCTGAAGATGTTGGACATTGTATAACAGTTATGGTATATCTTTCGAATACCCACAAAAGTATCGTCGTATATTGAGAGAACATTACTTTGTTTGCATCATTTTAACAATGTGATTCCGCTTATACGAGGACCGAAGTAGCTACAACTACTTCTCATCGGTAAACTCGTACTTGGTCACTGCTTAACGAGGTTTGTTATGAGAACTTCGTCATCCTCAAGATGACCTGTTGAGACATTTGATGCTACATGTGTCAACTAATAGATGAGAACCCATCTAGTAAAACTTTAAATATTGTGTTGTTAACAACAATCTTCTTATCCTAGTAACTGTTTCTGGATGTAATGTAGTTTTACACGCCTTTCATTGATAAGTACCTTATCAGCATTTGACATATCTTATGTGGTCTTGCTAGCCACTTCTAGATGGAGAGCTATTCTCTGAGACTGGGATGAACGAAACTGTACAAAATTCTGTCCATTATTATCTAATTAAGGTTTGGTGATTAAAAAAAAGTGGAGTCCATTTATTTGTACTATTCCAATTCCATGCTTACCTTTCGAGTTCTCTCCTCTCCTCCACTCTGATCCTCGACCTTGACTAGGCATCATCATTCAGAAATCTCAACTAAAATTGTAGACGTTTAGCAAACTATTTGTGCACTTCATCGACAAAATGATAGTACAATAGTGAGAACGATGAATACCGGCATTTAAGCAAAGAAATGCGTTTTACAAGCAAAGTGCATGTGTTGTAATGATGACATATAAGCGATTGGACAAGGATAGTCAGGTAATTTGCCACCTTACTGTCTGCGTTGTTCTCGGGCAGTTTAATCTCGTCATTTGTATGAATCTGTATTTGTAGTACTAAATAACCCAAATGTAGTCAGGACAAATTATTGAACCAGGCAAGAGTGTGATATTCTGAGGAGAATCCTTCCTTTAGTAAGAACAGCGTTCGTAAGCGCGGCTGCGAGTCATTTAATTCTTAATTATTCATTGATGTAGAAGTCCATGTTCTATGCCTTCTACGGGAGGGTTCTATAGCTTCGTTGATGCGTATTGACGTAATTTCCGGTTGACATGTGGCATGCATTCATTGGCATGTGCTCACTACAATGTGTTGTTCTAAAATGCTCTTGCGAAACTAAACGTTTAAAGGTAACTATTGAAACTATCAGTAACAGTACTGTATAGGTTGGAAGATGTGCTCTGCCACCTATGATAGAAATATGAGAAATGGGCTGGAAATGCAAAACGATTTATAAGAACCAAAAAACGCTATAGAAATGTTTGCAATCTACATCCATACATTTTCTATGCAGAATACTTTTTGCCATATATTTTACGGTAGTATGGAGTATCGATCTGACTGAGTTACACGCGAAGTGAACCATAAGGGACAGTGATGAGCTACGATCTTTTATGGTCATTATCCTTCTCCTCCCTCACCGTTTTTGTACATGTCCATTCTAAGTCTACAATCTTCCTGTCAAAAGACATGCCATTGTCAACTCATGAAATCGATCGTTCTGATTTGTACTTATTGAAATCCTCAGTGCTAATCATTTCGTCCGTTCTCAAATCTTCTGCATAGAAGCATATTTTCCATGACGAAACCTTTTTCCTGGTCATTCCAACTAGCTCTGGAATGTTTGTAGACCACAACATGAACTTTGCTCGCTTACTGTCACAACGACGCATTTTTAGAGCCAGAGGAAATTCTCTTTTGGACAAATTTAAATGCAAAACACGCAATACTATATTCTGGTTCTTAGTGACTTAATAGTGTTGTCGTTATAAATTTACCATCGTATTAACTCTCAATCAATATTCTTGCTTCTCTGGTCCTAGAAAACTCGATCCGAGTAATTACTGCGCGTGATTGTTTACCACTATCCGCTTTTGTTGCTCGTACGTCTCGCGGTCATCGATTACTCCCCGTCCTTCGTACTGCATCGTGTTTTTCGTGGTCTATGGACACTGTTTTGATAAATTTTCTGCAGGTATGTCTTGCGCTGTCTCAGCTGTTAGCGCATACTTTCGTCGCTACAGTAAGAAGGAATGGATGGACTACTTCTGCTCAACACATTTCTGGGGACCTGTAGCTAACTGGGGTCTACCACTTGCTGCAATAGCTGATTTGAAAGTTGTTTCATCGTTATAAGAGAAATAAGGCAGGTTAATCATCACCTACTATTCAGAAAAATCCTGACCTGATTTCTGGCAACATGACGACCGCTCTATGTCTTTATTCCTCGGTATTCATGCGATTCGCGTGGCATGTTCAGCCGAGAAATCTACTGCTTTTTGCTTGCCATTGCACCAATTTGTCGGCACAATCAGTACAGGTATGTCATTTAACGCTATCACGAATAAGGAGAATGATTCAACAAACTTTACAGCTTTCTCGCTACTTGAACCACAACTTCCTTCATATCATCGAGGATCCCGTAGTCAAGAGCGAGCGAATGGCTGGAGAAGCTGCCAAACTACATATCAAACGCTAACTCTCGTCGAACAACTACTATTAGTGCCCAATATTTCTATAAGGTGTCAAGCCAGAAGAACCAAAACAAAAAATTGTAAATATACGGGTAGTGAAGGAAATAAATTGGTGTTACTAAAGCATTCAGCGGAATATCCGTCGGTTGGTGATTACCAGAAATCATTAAGGTATATTTCATTGTGTACACTTAGAAACAAAACGTGACGATCCAATTTACGGGAGCTTGCTGCGTCGAGTTCTTATTACTCTTACAGGATCTGACGATGTCTTCCTTTTCATCTTTCGTGCTGCTTCTGACCGAGAAAGTGCTCCAGATCTACTTGGTGCGTTAGGTTTGTGTGAGCGCTCTCGTACTCTAAATTTTCAACAATTAGTATTAATATACATCTCTTTGTAAATGCCTTATCACCAACTTGGCTACATCGGCTTTCCTTTTTGCCTTCGGCTTTTCATGGTCATCCGCTGTCAAAGTTTGGCTCCGTTTACCAACTTTTTTATCGATTGCTTTCACTTTTGAAGGAGATGATATTGGTTGCATTGGTGTTGAAGTGGACAGTGGTATGTTATGCGATCTACCCCGCAATAACGTCTACAAAAAAAATTAACGTTTGGAGGAAAAGTATAACTACGCGAATTGTGGAAAGTTTACAGCCTAACAGTTTACTTACTCTTAACCCACTCCTGGTTATTGGTGAAAAATCAATATCGTCAGGAAATTTATGAGTGATTAACGGCGATACTTCCTTTGAGCCCTAAAGAAGTAATGGAAAAAGATAGTTACTTACAATGTTGACTTTTTATTTACTGCCGTTTACTAGCTTTAACGGCAAGTTATTATTTGTGAAACAACCACAATGATTCTGAGATATTTGCAAAACTCCGGACTGCAGGTGTCTGCGGTGGGGAACGAACGCGCTATTGCTCTTCCCGAGGAGCAACGCGTTCACCACCACACCATGCGGTTTCTTCGTTTCGTCTGTCTTTCTGTCTCCCATTGTTTACGCTAAGAATATATATTCTAAATTTAACCAACCCCTTCATCCTCCTTCGGAGAATGAGAAATTGATGCTTTTTCGTTATTACGTTGTCGCCTGTTACACGTTCTCTGTAAAATGGTAATGTTTAAGTAGAAGTGAGTGTTGACGACGACATTTTACGAATACCTTCAGTTGAGTGGGCGATTTTGCATCTCGCAACACCTGTTCTGTCGGATGACTACGTAAACTGCGTGCTGCTACTTGTCCTCCCGATGTAGACGGCAAGAAGTCATCAGTAGCATCACCCTAAATAATAACGCAACATTCTGAGTTCCAGTGTTTGTCGACGAACAGTATACAGTCAAACTAGAAGCATCTGATCTTCAAAGAATGCGCTCACGTTCGTAATAATGCTTAATGTAAAATTCTTGTAAAAACACAAGTGCAAATTCTAAACGAAATTAGATGGTTGTTTGGGTACCGAGTGGATTGTTCTGTCCTCCATACTAATTCTCCGATACTCTTGTAACCTCAGGAGGCGGCCCCAATTGATCGAAGTATGAAAAAACGGAACATCACAGGATACTTGTTATGTTCGGCAGGAATTGAGCACTTAAGGCAAATCCTTTTATCACTAACGTAGTTTTTTTAGACAAAACTGAAGACAAAGGCTGTGGAAATTGGTCAGCATTCTTAATGTTTATCTTGACGCAATGCTTGATATTACAAGAATAACGTCATGAAGACAGTGGAACTACAGGCATGCACTTTCATCTATATCGAAGACCTTTTCTAATTCGATGAAACAAACAAGGAGATAACCCCAACTTTCATTATGGAATGTAAAAGACCTAATGAGCCGAATCTACCCAAGACTTCGCTTTTGTGCGTGGCTCTCTTCTATCCATTGCTTTGTTCTTCTTGTTGGATACTCCACCAGGCAGGTGCTTGTGGTCACCATGTGGACGATAGCTGCCGATCCTTTTTATGCAGCAATGTCTTGCTCGCTCTCCATAGATTTTGAATCTGGCATTTTGACAGGTAACGTATGAAAGGTGGAAAAGTTCCTCAGATGTTTGGGTTTGATTCTGTCTGTACCAGTTCCTAATCGGTTCTGACGACGATGAGTTTTTCGTAGCACTATAGCACTATGGAATCACTGACTATAACATTTTGAATCTTTTCAAAACCAATGCAATAGATATGCAACAGTAAGGAAATCAACATCAAGAATTGAAACTCTATTTGCAGCACTGAGCAATCGAAAAAAAATCGGTTCTCTTATGCAACAGTGCCCGAAAATGCATTTTACAATAAACAATGTAAACAAATTGAAAAAAAAACAATTGAAGTATATGAATATGAATATGAAACTGCTTTTTCGCTATATTCAACGACCCTTTAACAACTAACGTTACTTTTCAAGCACCCCGAGAACTATGGCAGGGAGTCTTCAACAATGAGGCTCCTGCTGAAAACATCTTTAATACTCTAGAGTGATCCAGCAAAACCTTTCCCATAAGTATATCAATTGTCACCTCCTAAAATAAGCTCGTTATTGAGGAACAAACAGAAACAGAACTTAGCGCCATCGCCAATGTATTTAGAAACTTCGCGGATTTAAGAAGCTTAGAATTTTACCGTGCAGAAAAAAATAAATTTGCAGTGTGTTTGGAAAGTGTGAGTACTACAAATAACTTCTATTTTTATCATAAAGACCTACAGAGGTCCCGTTATTCGCGAGGCTACGTCGTGCGTCCCCAGGTGGCGGATAGGGGATTAATCGCGGACCAAAAGCGCGCTTTGCTTCCCTGAAATGCAGATGGATCCAGAGGAAGGACTCCCTGCTTCTGCTGCGCTAACTTGGCACATACTTTCTATATTTGCTAGGCATATTCATGAATGCGTGTGTGGGTGCGTTCTTGCTTATGCGGATTGTATTCTATGAGTCAATTCGGCCAAAGTCCCGCAATCAAGTGACTGGGAACTATATTGGAGGCGGTTAGGAGTCGCGTCCAACAAATAAGCTCCATACCCACTCTGGAAGAAACTGGAAGGCTACGCGTGAGTATAGCCAGCTTCCAAGTCAGAGCTCAACAAGCTATACGTGGGTATCAAAAATGCTAAACACAGTAAAAAAAAAACGGGCCTCATTCCCCCAACCCCAAAAGAGCTCCCAATTTCGCAGTGTTGGGTAGGACGAGTACGGAGAGACTGCTAAAATCTCAGGACCAATGAAAGTTGTCTGGATTACAAAGAACTACGGTGACGATCTGTACCTACACTGCATCCTAGACCTCGATAGAAGAGTTGCTCATGCAAGCAAGAAGAATAAGGTACGACGTCATCGGCCTGACTGCACTAGGGGAAACGACGCCACCATTCAATGTCGTCTATGACACCGGAGAAGAACTGTTCCTCGGAGCATGCGACTGTAGAGAAGTCGGTGTACTCGTCAACACGAGTTTATCCATGAACATCAATTCATTCGAACTTACAACCCGAATAGGACGATTGCGATTAATGGAATATAGATCAACAGCAGCTTTGGCAATCTTTGTCCTTTAACCGCCAACATCAAACTATGACGAAGAAGAAATCGAAGCGTTCCATATGGACTTGGAGAAATTCTGCAGAGAAAACCATACATTCTTCAACGTCATCATTGGAGATATTAATGCCAAAATTGGACCAAGAAGAACGCCTGAAGAGCGTCACATTGGGACCCATCGATTAGAATGGAACGAACGGGGTGAGCGGCTGTCTGAGCTTCTCATGAGGACCAAGACAACCCATGGTAACTCGCAATTCCAGAATCACCCTAAACGCTGGACGTGGGAGTCTCCCGATGGAGAGTACATAACGAAATATACATCATAGTAAACCGAAGGTTTTGCCTAACCGATGTCGTTATTGTCCCAAAATTCTACACGGGAGCAGACCACCGCCTCCTTCGTGCAAGATTCTATTTCTCACGGAAAGGAGAAAAAGCCGCTAAATTCCAAAACCGAAGTCCTAAAACCACCGCAAATTGAGACTTCTTCAATTCATTAGTCGGCTATTGGGAAGAAGCCGTTGTCGATAACATCAACAAAGAATACGATCGGCTCATTCAACATCTTCACGTTAGCGCTATGAAAGCTGAGAGTTCGAAAGTCACCAAGAGACGTTTGTTTCCAGAAACATTCGAGCTGATACGCCAGCATGGAATCGCATGAGCTGCAGACAACCGCGAACTAACGTTCGAACTTGCAAAACAATGCAGACAGGCGATAAAAGAGGATTTTAAAGAGAGACGAGCAGTAGTAATGGTCGAAGCTGCAGAGGCTGGGAAAAGCATTCGCAAAGCCCACCGAAGCTTCGCTAATTACAAGACCAAGACGACTGCACTCGGAAACCCAAACGGAGGAGGTACAACGTTCGGAAAAGGAATGGAGAAAATCATTCACAAATACTACTCAGATCTCTTCGATAGCCACCACGTCCACCTTCCTTCATATGAAATAAAGGAGGGTGAATATTTGTACCATCGGTTCTCCCTTCCGAAATCTGACATGCTATTTCGTCGGTGAAAAATCGAACAGCATCAGGAACTCACTGAAGTATCGCGAGAGTACAAAAGACCGCTTTGTCTCACTTTCATCGATTTAAGAAAGGCCTTTGACTCAATTGAGATAGATGCAGTCATGGAAGCCCTTGACAATCAAGGAGTCTTTACTCAGTACATAAAGAGTCTTCGTGAACTGTACAAAAATGTCACAACCAAGGTATCACCATTCTACAACGATATTAACATCGACGTCAAAAGAAGAGTTAGGCAGGGCGATACTACCTCGCCAAAATTATTTACCGCCACGCGAACACGGAAATGAGATAATATGGGCGTGAAAATCGATGGTCGGCAGTCACATTACCTTTGCTTTGCTGATGACATCGTCCTTATAACATCAAACATTAGCCAAACAGAATGTATGCTTGACGATTTTGATAAAGTCTGTGGAAAGATTGGTCTTCGACTAAATCTCACAAAAACGACTTTAATGAAGAACGGATTAATTTCGTATGCTCCATTCACGCTCAACGGAACGAATATCTCCGAATGCTCCAGTTATGTCTATCTAGGTTGGGAAATCAACATCACGAATGACTTAGCTTCAGAGCTGAGCAGAAGGAAACGAGCGGCTTGGGGAGCTTTCAAGAGTATCGAGGATGTAGTGAAGAGAACAAATAACACCCGACTCCGTGCCCACCTTTCGACTCAACTGTACTTCCTGCCCTAACGTATGCGTCAGAAACCAGGTCGCTGCGTAAGCAGGATGAAAAATCACTCAGCGTTCTCGAATGCGAAAGTCGAAAGGATGATGCTAGGAGTATCCCGTTCCACACAAGCAAGAGATGGCATCTGAAGCTCCGATCTGCGTCAACGATCAAAAACCAAAGATGCCGTTCTGTACGCCAAATAGTCGAAGATACGGTGGGCCGGACCAGTAATGCGTATGAATGACAACCGATGGACAAGAGCCGTTAGTGATTGGATTCCTCGGGGTGTCAGACGTACTGCAGGGAGACCGCGGACCCGATGGTCAGAGTTCTTCACGAAGAGCCTAGAAGAAAGGTATGGTGTTCAGCGAGTCCCTAGGGCCAACAGAACCCACTGAGCTACTCTTGCACGCGACAGGGAAAAATGGAAAATAATACTGGCAGCCGTTCGAGTCACTAGACGATCAACGGCACTACAGCTGGTACAGCTAATAAGGCTGTCACGTCGAGGGATACCGGTATTTTAAATCAAAGGTTTAAAGCGACATTAACTTCTGAACAATCTAATCATATAGTGTCTTGAAACAGGATACAAGGACATTACTACTGCTGCTTTGATTACTGGAGTTGCTGTTCGATTTTTAAGGTTTTTCTTTCCTCATAAATATTAACTGTGCGAGAACTTCATACTGGTTTGAAAAAAAAGTGTTTTAGCATAAGTAACCGCAGCAATGAACAGAGAAACAAATTTGTATAAAACGCACATTGCTTGTATTTCCCTTCCTGTCAGAATGATCATCCTTCGTTTTTTCGCGTTTCAAAGAAGAACGAGTTGCAGCGCCTACAAATCAGATCTATTGTCTAATACATTTTACGAATTGCCAGAACAGGTTCCCTCCCAACGGCTTACCGCCAAATCGTGGCTGGGAAGTGTTCCTGTGCGTCAGGCTGTGATATACAGAGGGGAATTCATCCTCTTAGGAGGGTCTCCTAAACTGAGAAGGATTCCAGCACTTCCATCAGGAAACCCAGCTATGAGTAAACCAGTACCAAGATCCACCACTGTTCTGGCATCAGGTTAGTTGTATGGTGGTAAATCTCCTTCTGATCCACAAGGGCTGCGACTGCCTGTAATGGTGAAGACCTAGGGCAGACTTTGTCCAGGCTGACCTCGGCATTTCATGGAACCAAAATGGCTTAACCAGCAAATCCCCGAAAAGTGGAGAATGTACTAGGACCTGCACGATAAGTGAGGACGGACTACCCAAGTATTCAAGCAAGTAAGATCAAATTCTTGTAATGGAGCAGAACGCAAACAAACCGGGTGATCGGTTGACAGCCCGATGCACTAATCTTTTCTGCTTCATCCCTTTATCCTCTGTTTTGTTTTCTTGCTCAATTTTCAAAGGCTTTCGATTTCTTCCCTTTCGAGTAGCCGTAGAATTAAACTGAAAAGAAAGTTACTATCTAGTTCTAATAGCTGTTGTATGTCAAGAAATATCCTCATTGCTGCTTCATTGTCCGAAGGAAGCCTTTTTTGTAGACACTCTTCTAAACAAAGTAAAGAACAAGAGATAAAGAACCTATTTCGAAATATTTCACTCATGAGAACTTTTTTATCGAAAGTATGCGGAATAAAGGGCAATTACTGAAGAAACTAACAATATTCTTTGGAGATGAGATGACGTTCCTATCATCCAGTTCCTTCCCCGCAGCTTTCCTCACGCCCCTACAAGGGATAAAACAGCAGAAACTCGAGAAAATATTTAAAACGGTTAAAAATTGAAGGAAAAAACAATTAGAACCATTCTCACGCAATATTTTTAGTGCCTGGTCTTTTGGCTAAACTAGTATTTGTGTTTGCGCTAAGAAATCGTCGCCTTTCATGTGTTGGAATTTTCCCATTTCGTTGTTTTTCGTCCTCAATCAACTCTTCAGGTGCATAGACCTAAAATTTAACGACAACGTACAATAAACAAACCAAACCACATAAAAATCCAGCGATTTCCATGCAAGAAATACAATGTGATTTCAATCAAAACCTTACCATTGCTAAGTGTTCAGCGTTCTTACTTCGAACAAAGAATCGAGCAGAAAGCACTGGTTTTCGTGGCTCGTTACGAATAGTTACCTTTCCTCTGTACACTAACATTAATACACCCATGTCCGCTAAGGCCCACATTTTCTGAAAAGCCTATGGTTAATCATTCACTCATTCAGATCTCTGCGGTCTCAATTGTGTTCCTGAATCAAAACCTAGAGGAAATACTTCCATTCCTAGGTATCAGGGATTTCATATTCGGTAGAGCTAGCGCCCAAGCTAAGGAATTTGATATTTCCATTAAAAATCCGAAGCTTAGATCAATGCTAGGTACTACCCTATGCACGTAGCAGTCTACTCAAAAGTTATCGAACCTCTTTCCAATTCACATTAGAAGGAAACTGTCTACTGTGACTTCCAAATACCAACACATGTACACCTTAGGACGAGTTCACCATCATCTAAAGGCTTCAAATCATGTCAGGCTTCACATGGTTGCCTTACAAAAAACCATACATAACGGTGACATACGCCAGTTAAATGAGGTGAGTCCTGCTATTTACGAAGTAGAGACCATCAAGAAATGCTGTTAGCGTAGGCTATATCATCCACTCTTTCATTATCCACCAAGGAGACTCATACAAGTTCCTTTCATCTTGTTCAGCCATACTCCGTCTTTACCACAAATGTCAAAGAATGACCAGTATCTTCAACATATGCAGCTGACACCGAACTAGATATATCCTACGATCTGTTGAAGGGATTGGACCGAAAGAAAAGTGCTTTTATAAATTTGATGTCGGAAGCTTGAACGCTAAGCCAAGAGGTGTCACTTAAAGTGAAAATATGATGGGAAGATTTCGAATAGGACACTAAAATGAGGATGGAAGCTGGTATACTTAGTTGCCTCGACAGCACGTCTCTTCCGCAAAAATGCATTTCTCTAGATGAAGGAATTTTCACATGACACCGGAATTTCCTAGTGGCTCGACTCCTATAGAAACCAAACAACACCTTCATAAACAGAACTAAGTGCCTTCTTAAGACCTCCGTGTGGTCGTGTCCGATCACAATCTTCTGATAACAAGAACAGCGCAGTGGACTTCAAAAAGCTAAAAACATTGCAACCCACGAGATGTATGGCACCGTTTGAAGCTCACATCACTCAGCTGTATTCACAGCTGGGAATAATTTAGAGATCATACAATGATACCCCGACGTCACTACACTCGATGCAGACCACAACCATAAAAGACCTATCGCTATTGAAAGAAACTAAAGGGAAATGAATTAAGATAGCACAATGCATGAAGATGGGTCATTCAAATATCCAAGTAAGAATAGCCCTCCATAGAAACAGTGTATTAAAACTAACTTTGTTTTGCCCAATGATTTGAGCCTGACCGATTTCTCCGCCTTTGCATCTGTTCTCAAATAAAGCATCACTGGTTGCCTTTATATACTGCAGCAAATGATGGATAAACTCAAAATCAGTGGTTTCCTTCTTTGCCATGAAAGGTTCCATCATAAACCATAAACACCTGTAAATGCATCTGATGAGTAACTAGGATCACGAACTGTAACATATTGACGACCGTGAGGATTTTCCAGTAACTAATGTGCTCGAAGACTTGAGAACTTGACCAATCAAGGAATTTGAACCCCGAGAACTTCTTGACAATGCTTTAAAGACATAAGCAATTTTTGTTTAGAAACTCCATGCTTGTTTCACTTTTTTAAGTTAAACATACTAAAATGGATGACCTTTTCTCTAAAATTCACAACACTAGCGCAGCTACCGCCCGTATAAAGGGAATTTTCGAGAATACTATCGCGTGTTGTCAGAAATTTCACACGCTCTGTTGCTTCGATATATCAACTTTCATAATAAAATAAGGAAAAAAGAAACAAAAACGACTTCCACACCTCTGAACACTAAAAATTCATCGCGTTCGTTATTTGTTCAAAGATAGTAAGTCTCGCGTTCAAGCCGTCGTTGTCCCCGACGGTCGCCAAATGAGAAAGAGTAGAAAGAAAGTAGAAAAAAATGAACTGACTCCTGCAGGGCAGCCATATTAGCCAAATCTGAGTGACTCGTCAGTAATGGCTGATGTGAAAGCAGCCATATTGAGTATGCAATGGTGTACTCTGGTTGATGATACGGAAGATATGCTGGAAATTTTTATTTAAGGCTAGTAGTTCGTAATCAGACTAATTCTATTACTATTAGCGAATATCAATCCATCATATCTTGAACAGGCGAAACACCAAAAAGAAAAGAGCTTTCCCAAGTTCAAATTCTCACTAATGAAGTGATCATTTGACAAAATTAGGACTAAACGCACAGATTGTATAAGGAAGTTCATCCTCATATAAACAAGAATTCCTTAACTCTTGTGAACAATGATTAAATATTACCAAAGTCGACCAAATGTGTTGGAAGGTGATTTATTGATAGAATTTGATAGTTTTTAGAAAGTTATAAAATTTTCCGAAAACATGAGGTGGATTTGGTCCATATAATAGTTTTTCTCTCAGATATTTTGTAGCCAACTTGTTAATGAAGATGAAACAGAAAACATGAGTGGAGCTCTAGTTGCGTCAGGATCAATTTAAACAACGGATATACGAAATGCCAACAGATTTTACTGTGTTAAGTGTCTAGTCTATAACAATAAGAAAATTGAAAACATCAAAAACACTGATGAATTGAAATCAACATAAACAAACAAAGTAACAATAAAAGCACCATGAGAAACTTACCAGATGAAAATCCCGAAGACTGAATAAGATGTCGCCGTCGAGTTACTGCTGACAACAGAAAAGCACGACACTGATCGCGATAACTGAATTCGATGAAATGCTACTCTTATCTAATTAGTTAAATCTCAGCAACATTTAAAAATACAGATTTACCAGTATCACATACTTTTTCACAGCATTCTCCTCCAGTCCCGTTGCGTTCACAAGATTCACTAACGAAAAAAATGACAAATATTCTATTGTCAACCTGGAAAAGAAAACTTTGAACCCACTTCTATAAAAAAGAAGTCACAAATAAATCACTTGAGGACAATATTCCAAATCTGCAGAATTTTAGCAATTCCCTATTATTAGCATATTTAAACATAAGATTTTAACTATGAAGATCTCGCTGCATTAGTACATGTATTGGTTGCACCGTGCATTTGGCGCAGTGGTCGAAAACGCTCTGCAATACACATGGGACCGATCCCAGCACCTGTGGTTCAACAAGCCTTCCATCTCTCCGGGGTCAGCAAATTGGTACCAGACTGTCTACGAGGATAGCAGCACTAACTCAATACATCAGTAGACCACTGCGAGTGACTGTAGAGGCCAGATATGCATGCAATCACCTCCAACGATGCTTAATGAAGTCGACCGCATGGCGCACCCTCAGGAATTGATCAATGCCGAGAGCTTTACCTTGTTTTTTATTTGTCGTTTCCACTAGAGATTAATAGAGTCGCGATGACACCTAATTTTCTCTGCCGCGCATTGTGAATCACAGCAGACTCGTATACAATTTGTTTAGTGAGACATGTAATAAAAAGATTTTTCGTAGTCTGCTCATTTCTTATGACTATGAATAGATCTGCACGAATAATGCAGCGTGCATTCCTTTACATTCTGACAACTGCCGGCCTGTAAAAACTCACCTATTCCTCATAATTCCTTTGTTTAATCGCTTAACAAAGTAGTTGCGAACACAATCCTCAGTATCCTAAAATATTAGATTGGCTCTACATATTTCATTCCGCAAAAGGAAGAGCGTAATCATACAGTCATCAGATTAGCGAGCGTGGCAAACATTCCCGCATCCATCATTTGTGAATATTTCTGTACGTAACACAGTTTGAGTAGCGAGACACCAGCAACGGCGCGCAACCAAGCTTTCTCGGTCAAACTGAAGACAAAATTTATACGAATACTGTAACAAAGAAAAGCAAATTTCTATCAAAAATCAAACAACAAATCGCAACGAGTCAAATCAGACGAAGTAGCACAAACAAAGCACCCACGAAATATGTTTGTCCGGATCGTGCAAATCACCTGCAGCCTGTATAAATGCTACAAACATTTTAATCGTTTTCGACGCCAAAGCGTCATTTTCCACATCGCCATTGCATGCGAAGAGATAACGGGTCAACAATTTCATTCCATACACCTAAAACGAAAACTATTTGTACCATTCTTTATAAACAACTATGAATCGAAAAATCCTTTAAACAAATGCAATGACGATGGTTGCAGTTTGATTTCTATCAAACGCATGTGTAAATGATATATCACGAAACAAATCATTATAATAATGCTGAGATATTTGCAAAACTCCGGACCACAGGTGTCTGCGGTGGCGAACGAACGCGCCATTTCTATGTACCATTTCTATCAGCAATTATATCGTTATTATATCAAATACACTACATTACCTCCTAAGCGAATTATGACCATATACAAATACTTAGTAGTGCAAAACAGTAGAGTCGACTGGCTGGTATTAACATAGTTCCTGATGCCAAGTCAAAATTGGCCAAATAGCAGCGCACTTATTCTTAAGAATAGCAAACCTTTGGCAAGCAGTATTGTGAAACGGGTCGTTCTTCCAGAGGAATGAGAGGATCCAGCGATTCGGCAGCACCATCATCTGTTTCAGGGCTTAGGACAAGCTGTTAAATTTTTATACTGATCACTATCGCAATATTAAAAACAAGCAAAATGGATAGTTATTATGAAAACCATTTAAAAAAAACTGGCTTACACCGGGAACGATGAAATCAGTAATCAGGGCTTTTACACGACAGCCGAATTCAAGAGGCAGATTACGGTGAAACTCAGAGATCACCTGTAGTGCATTTATGCATGCAGCAGGATTATCCAATGACACACGCTCCTCTATATCCTAAAGCAACATGGCATCTAAAATTCTCATAAATGAACAGAATTAATACCGTTTTAAAAGTACAATGAGAACATAGAGCAGTCGGAAAATGGCTAGAAGAGAAAAAAGTAACAATAATGGAAAGTTAATATTGTTTTAGACTAATTATTCAACGAAAATTCAATAATAAGAAACATAAAAGGATAAAGGATAAACTTCTCGGTGTTGATCTATCCCTGAGAGATGCGTCATGGATTCGACTCCATTAAGTATCATTTGGAGGTGAATGAATGCACATCTGGCCTTTACAACAACTCGCGAGGCTTGGTGGCCCAAGAGCGTGGGGATCGATCTCATGTGTGTTGCAGGGTGTCCCCGACCACAATATACATTGCACATATTGCTTAAAAACACCTTTCCGAGAAGAAACAGATATTTACCGAAAAAATGCGATTGAACCGTAGTGCGCACTCTTCCCTGGTAAGCAGGCGACATACGATGCGAACGGCTAACTTGGAACATCGACGAAAGTTCTTATCCTCGCAAGTAATTACATTCCAAACTTCCTGAATCAAACGAATGCTTAATGGAACATTGAATAAAGCTGTTCGAGCCATTTTCTGCCAGTTACTGTGTGAAGTTTAAACTTACAGACAGAACAACATTACTCCAATCTTGGTCTTTTGTCTTCAAAGTGGACTGAAGAGTTATATAATAAAGCACTTGCAATCCAGCCTCCACTAAAACAGTCAAATACATGGTAGCTAGCAAAATAAAAGTAAAATGTAGCAACCGAAAATAATAAACGTTATTCAGCTCACCTATGTTCGGATCATCAGAGGCTACAATTCTTAAAAGCCCTTGAATACAATCCATTCGAGTAAAAATGTGAGGAAAATACTCGCCCCAGATCTGAAACCACTATGAAATCAAGCTCTCAAAAGTGTTGTAGCACCTTTGCTTACCTTCGTTAAGCGTAACAACCTAGGCAACTTGGTAATGGCATCGGTATTTCCGCATTCGGCATCGTTTTTCAAGTGGACTAACAATCGCAACAATTCCTTCAATTACAATATGAACATAAGAAAAAATAGAAGTATGAAGTGTTATTAATATATGTTCTGTTCAATGCTCCTATTGAATTTCAAATCCCAGAAAATCTGATTTCGTATACAAACATATTCTTACGCAATATTTTGCAACGCTATCACTCTAACATAGCGCGTGCAGCACAGTGGTAGGAGGCGCCCTGCAATATACATACGACCGATCCCGGCGCTCCAGTCCCACCAAGCCCTCCATTCCTTTGGACTCAGCAAAGTGGTAACAGACTTGTCTGCGAAGACAGCATTCCCGGCTCGATACATCGGTAGGACACCGCGAGTCATTGTAAAGGCCAGATATACATTCACTCACCTCCAATGATGTTTAATGAGGTCTAATGCATAGCGCATCCCTCGGAAATTAATCAACGCCGAAAGCGTTAGCTAGCGTTATATAAACATAATATTTAAAAAATGACGTAGTATGTTGAAAAATTAACCAATTATAATTTGAGAACAAACATTAGTGCTCTCCTGGTCCATTATAAGTGGAGCGACTCTTTCTATATAACGACGAATATTTGTCTGACAATCTTTTGGAATCGTTCCCACTTCTGCAGAACGGCGTATGAGTTCTTTCTAAATAAATCATAAATCAGATCATTGTCTTCATAAGGAATATCCAAAAAGTTCCACAATTATTCGGATGTGTGGAAGGACGTTTTGTTTAACAAACATCAGGAAAAAGAAATCCGAAACCAACTGTGCAGACGATGAATATCACAACACAACAAAAGCCACCAAAACAACTGCTAAGCTACTTACACAAATCTCTTCAACTTTTGCGGTCGTGTATTCATTCGATACCAGATATTCACCATATTCAAAACACTTTTGGTCCGTTGACAGAAGATTTGCGAAATGTTTCAAAGCGATTGAGAACTATAATGAAAACAAGGCAAGAATTACTATAACGATTCCGTCGGTATCTTATTCTAGAATAATCTAGTTTTCAATCAAATTTTGGAAGTACTCTCTACGCTCGTATAGTCTCAGAATTCGCTTAGTTTACTTCCAGCAATACAAGTAGGAACACATATTGATAGTGATGCAACATAAGATCCACAACTCTACAACGTAAATCATACCAGTGGAAAATATGGTAAATGTATATGAACTGACCCCATTTGAATCATGGTAAGTACTACTGATGCGTTGAATTTTCGATTCCAATTGAGCCTTATCTTCAGATGATCCTTGTCGGGAAATAATATCTAACATTTCGCGTAGAATGCGACGATGGCATGATGACCGCGCCACTATTTCAGCAAATACTCTGTAAGGAAGCCCGGTTCACAAAGTGCAAAAGCTCAATGTGTACTTGTAATTGTGGAAGATTTTGTAATCCTGCAACAACCTACGCATTAAGAAGAACAATACACGAACATAGTTCCGGACCATTAAAATGAATGGTACGTACTGAGATTCGAATTTATCCAGCTTACAGAAAAGGTCCACCATTGACTTAATGCGTTTCTTTATTCCCATTTTATACGGGATGATATAAGACGAAAAATAACGTTCAATCATTGACCTAAAATATTTGATACTTCGGTAAAGTGGAAAAAGAATAGCTTTTATGAAACCACTTCAGTTACAAAAACTTTCGCCCATAAGAAAAAAACTCCACTTCTCCTCTGTCATGCTGGCAAGCATATAGAGCGCCAGAGCCTTCTCAGGAATAACAGTGACGGCGGCGGTTTCGGAGGCTGTATACTCGTCACCCATGACTACTTTGAAGTATAAATGTAGAAGTTTAGCAATAACTTCTTGACGTATTTTAGGCTAAAAAAATGCTAGCGTAAATGACTCAACAAAATTTGGAGCACAAATTCCACTAGCAGCTACTATACAACACCGTGTATAATAAAACCCTTCTCCACCTTTTTGTCTTTCATTCGGTCGCAGCATGCCAAAATAAGTGATTCATTGACAGCTTCTAATTTCTTCTTCGCAGTTTCAATAATGCAGAGAACAGCGGTGAGCCGAACTGGATCATCCAGATCTCGTGTTAGTCTCCCAAGTGCCACTGAAAGGTTTTTATGTTCTCAAGGAACAAACATATGGAATAAATACGTAGGGCCGAATGACATTTCTACACTAAAAAAGCACCAGTAGAAATCCTAGTCACGGATCAATTCCAAAAAGATCACCCTTTCTACACAGGTTTTCCGCTGTATTACATACCATTCGTGAATGTTCGATTTCTACAAACGCATGTGATACAACCGTATAATACAAATAATACGAACACAACAACATCAGAAAGTGGTGCCACGATTCACAGACGATAAGAGTAATTAAACAGAATGTATGACTACTTTGTTGCTCGACTTTGTAGACAACCGCAAAGAAGTACACACTTCTAATATACAAATTCGTTTTACCTTCTGCTGCATCTCTTGGTTATGGCTACATATCTATCTACGGAGTATCGTGCACATTTTTTGGTCCGGTACCATCGCCACATGCGATTTAAATGTTTATCACCTGTTCACTAACAACATCTCACGTTGAACAAGCAGGAGCTACGAAACATTCCCGATATTGAAAAATGTTCACTCACAACCCCAACAAAAAATTTTCTATTTTGCAGAAAACTGGCTCAGTATTCCCAATAGAACACTCTCAATTAGGTTAAAGAAATGAAATATACGGCACTATGTTCTAGAACCTCTCCTACTTTATTGTTAGCTGGAAAAAATGACAACTCTACCACATGGTGACAGTCGCATGCGCAGCCTATAAAATACAATAAAGCATTCGGATGACAAGTGAATGTACATCTGGTGATGCAATGACTTCCTGTGGCATACAGACGTGCCAACCCTGTTTTCATTCCTCAAGACAAGCGCGATACCGATATGGATGAGCACGACGTGAGGAGCTTGGATATGAAGGTCCGTGAAGTAAAACTAAATAGTATGCGTTGCAATGCACCTTTAACCACCCAGCTATACGTCCCTATTCATTGCTCAATCAATCAAATATACGATATACCACCAGCTCAAGAGAGGAAATTTATACTTCTATAACAGCACATCTCACGTCATTGAAATTTTAAAAAAAAAGTCTGACACATTATACCAATCAATGAGCTCCTACGACAGTGAACAAATAATTCAAAATATCCGTGTCATATTCCAACATCCTCGACAGAGAAAAACCAGGATTCTAAGCTTTTAATATCGAGTTGCTATCAAGAGTATCAAAGCAGATATAGCTTTGGGATCAGAATGACATCTGCCCTTCCGCGGGCTGCTGGGCGAAATTCTCGAGGCCATCGAATTGAAACGAATACAATCTTGCTTGCGTCCGTTTGGCGAGTAGTGAATATGTTCAACAAAAGACTGTCAGTCGACTAATACGACAGTTTTTTCATTGTAAAGAATGTCGCAAATGGTGATGAAAAATTACTACCAAACCATCGTTTCCCTGAACACATTGTCAACCTTTCGAGAATGTGCGATGAAGCACAAACACGTCCAAACTGAACCAAGCGAAAAAAGGATAGAAGCGTTAAAAAATCCAAAAGTACTTTGTTCATAAAGAACAATGTTACGATAGAAAACAAATGCTGATGAATGGTTAAGAGATAATGGAGACCAAATCTAACATAAAATAGGAACCTGATGAAGATGTAGATATCGCTTCAAAATGTTTTTTGCTGTTTATCACTATTTCTTGACTAACACCATATGTACCTAATACTACAAACAGCAGTTATCACCTCCTGTGCAACAGCAGCTCAGTGGATTATGCTCGCCATCGAGAGGATTTGCTGAACATATTCTTAAGATTTTTGTAAAGAACCCTCACCAGCGAGTGGGTTCCTCTCGGTGACTGTTTGACACCCCGTTGGTTAGAAGTCTTAAAAGCTCCTATCCACTAGTTATCGCTAAGATGAATCATGTGCCCAGAAAAAATGAGCAGAGTTTTGGGTATTTTTGGCTCTCCTTACAATTTGGCGATGTTCTAAAAAGTTCTCTAAACTGATGATTTTCTCCTGATCAATTTCGAAACCAAGCTGTTCATTACGTCAAGTTCTCAACCCAGATAGGTATAGTTTCAGTACTCAGATGTTCAATCTGTTGAACCAGAATGGAGCACCAAGAAAAATCCAATTCTCATGAACATCCTCCTGACATTTAGTCGAAGAGTACTTTTTCCACGAACTTTGTCGAAGTTCACCAACACATGAACAAAGCCAACAACCTAATCCTTGATGATAGGAACGATATTATCAGCAAAGCAAAGGCGCTGTAGCTGTCGATCACCAATTTTCAGTTCTTTGCCATTCTATCCCAGTTCTCACATGTTATTGACAATAGCTTCCAATAATTTTGGTCAGATGGTACCAGCTTTTCAAAACCCTTACTTAATTCTCTTCATGTTAATGTTAATGTCTCTGTGGTATGGTGAGATTTTGGCTGTTATGCTGTCACATATATCATGAAAGATCCTTATCTTTAAGGATGCGCTCGCTTTTTACATCTTTCATGACGGATTAGGCATAAGCTGAGTTCAAGATCTTTTTTTGAACCGATGAAAAGAGATAAAGTGGCCTATTGCATTCTCGTGATAAATTATTGAGTTTAGCGATTAACTTTTCTGGCCCGATCCCTTCTACACTGCTCTACTTTCCATAAACTATCAAATGATTGTAAAAAGTCTTCTAAAAAAAAGTTTTGAACGGCGAAATAAATCATTAGAAAGAATATAACCTCTATAGAGATCATATACCTACCGAACAGGTGGTGCAAAACACACACTTTCTGTTGTGTTAAGAGTATCATCAATGTTTGGAGATGATTCATTGTGTTGAACAGTATTTGGAACTTATCATGTTCACATGGCCAATCTCTGCACAATCCTTTGTTATGCAAATTGAAGACGGTTTGAGTGACAAACTTCCAGACGAGATAAACAGGCTGACCATATAGTCATTGCGTGTAGTTCCCTCTTCTAAGTAAGGAGGTTTTGCTAGTACATTTGTTTGACAGACGTATTTTACAAGGTAACGTGTGAAAACCGAGGCAATGTGTTGATAAGGATTGTCTATAGTGGACATGGAAGGCTCAATGCCTAGTAGTCTCGCTCTATAAAACGCCTGATCCCTGTTCCCAACCAACACTGGACCAGCCACGCCTACCATTCCTCAGTGATCGGTAAACTGATCCTCGACTTGCCTGGAAAAAGTACCTACTAATCCAGAAGGATTATGGTCTAAAACGTGGCGACATCTTGTAGTGGGTACCTGGGGAACCTCTAGTATAACTACCCCAGTATTTCAGTATTCATAAGGAAATCGAAATCCTCAAGTAGCAGCCGAACATACGCACATACATATACACCCCTATACAAATCCGAAGAACTTTGTGAGTGAAGAGTGTGAAACAAAGAAACCAGTGAAAGAAGTGATGAAACTCGCGCAATAATATGAAGATGTGTCATACAAATAAAAATAAAAATGTGCGTAGATGTACACGGTTGTGAAAGCAAACATCCACATATAGATATACACATGCATATGCACGTATATACACCTACACATTTATATATATAAACACACGTATGTATGTATACACATAATTACCATCTTGAAATTACATGCTAACATTGTTGTTCTTGCATTTTACCCCATTCCTCCCCGCATGGACACGATTGTGTCCATGTGGAGTTCAAAGGGTTCCACAGTTTTTCTTCCCCGAATATGTATAATCACTCGGTAATTAATCGAAAACCGATCAAAATAGTAGGTGTGAGACCAGAAAAGCCACCCTCTATACTTCATAATGTACAAGAAACCTTTTGGAAAATTTGACTGACTGGTAATTAAACTAACAAATAACTCAAAAGACCGACTTTCTATAAACCTCGCCATAGATAGTTGATATATTTATTTATATGATCTTATAAACCGATCTTCTTTAGCTGATGCGAGTTTGGTATAGGTCTTCGTTGTCGTTGTTGTTGTTGGTCGATGGCTGACGTTTCGGTGATTTCGCCTTCCTCAGAGCCGTGATGTTACGAGTGGAAGTCCCATTTCGCCTTCATCAGAGTGGTTCTACCACGAGTAGAGTCGCACTCGTAATATTACAGCTCTGTGGAAGGCGAAATCGCAGAAACGTCAGCCATCGACCAACAACACCAACAACAAAAACAACGACAACGAAGACCTATACCAACCTCGCATCAGCTAAAGAAGATCAGTTTATCAGATCATATAAATAAATGTAACAAATAATTGTTATTCCATTTTAATCCCTATGATGAGTGATGGTTATTTCACAGAATTTATCGGCATAAAAATATTGAAGTAGACTCGAAATAGAGTGGGAAGTATATCCAAATGCAAACAGCAATGTATCTGCATAATGGACCACAGCAACAAGTAGTAAGTAGTGCCATACACAACATTCATACCCGTAAAACTATAGAGCAAAGTCTCTTCTACAGTCTTCAAAACCCTTCAAGTCCTCCAAAAACGGGACGTAATTCGTTATGCAACGCTGAAACTCACAGATGCAGAAATAACACACATTTTTAGGAACTCACATGAGATTTGTCCCCTAAGCTGGCTATGTCGAAGAAGTATTTCATGAGAGTCTTTTGCGCACGCCTCCCTTATCTCAGCGGAACTGTCCTTAAATCTATAAACAACGTATTACATACTATGCGGTTGACAACAAAATGTAAACATAGAACTAATGAAATCAATTCAAGAAAATCAGCACGAAAGATAGTTACCTTCATATTTTGATAGTATTAACACTTCAAAAATCTTGAATAATTAAAATAGTGAACGTCGACATGATAAAGCGAATACTATGGGATTTTTAGGCATCTTAGAGCAATCACGAGCATCTTCTACTACTATCCATAATGCGCGCACAATCACTAATTTTATTCAAATCGTTGCATCAACGTGTTGAAAGAATATCAACAAGCTGGATATATTAACAAGCTGCCTCTAGACTAGAAAGATGTCTATTTTAAGTGATTACCAAACGAGACCGGTTGGCTTGCAATCTGCCTACCTTTCAGAGATAAAAGAGTTGCTTGAACTAAAACAACTACCGTACTCAACTTTAAGCAATTTTTATTGTTACAGAAAAAATTTCGGCAACATATATAAACCTTTCACGAATCGGCTAAGTATTTTTATGAATAGAGGGAAAAGTAACCTGTCCATATAGAGTTTCCACAAATCAGGATGGTCGTCACATAAACGGGATTTTTCGCTAGAAGCTAACTTTCCAACAAATCTGGTAGCCAACAATCGCTGTTGATCATCATCTGCCTAGAAAAAACGTGAATGCAACGCGTAAACACATTTAAATTGAAGGACTAACTGACGTTTGTAGTGCAAGCTCAAGACACAAAACATACACAATGAGTTGGAACATAAGTTTCTAGACCAAATCATGACTAATTAGGCACGGATGTATCCAACATCACAGAACTATTCTTTGGGTTAATTTTAGATCCAGCTCTCCTAGAAAGACAAGACTAGCGAGTGGAGTATTTCAGATCACCGAAGTCGAACTGCTTTTCATGCAGATGATGCTATGTGATAGTTTGAAAGCACCATGTTCAGAGAATAGGCCGAATGCGGTATGGTAGACCATTTCAGGTTTTCCAGCTTTCTGTGAGTTAACATTATACCAAAGAGCACAATGTTCTGCAAGAATTGGACTTATCCGTTTCGGTTAATTTTCAAATAGTTTTTTAAGTCGTTGGTAGTCACGAAGAAGTGGGTAAAATCCGGCAACTTTCACAGGACCGTGCCTTGTAAGTTGATCATTAATGACAGCACCAGTTTGCGACCTTGTTGATACGGTTTCCAATGAGTAGACCGGTCCTCGCTGCTGGGAAGCAGGAACAGGTGAAGGCTGTTATTATCGCAACTAACCTAGTTATTAGTTGTAGCTTTCGTATCATCGTGTTGAAGTGCCTATAGGGACTGACATCATTATAGCCGATTGCTTTCTCAAATCAAGCTGGATTTCAATAAGTCGGAAATAGTATCTCCGTAAACCTTGTCCGTTCACACATTCATAACTCATGCAGCCCTGCACTAGACGTTGGCAAGAGAACAGTTAGGTCCAACGCTACTTCTTCGCGAACTAAACGCGATGCTGATCTTCACGGCGGTTATTGGTGCACTGACACTCGTAGAACAATGGCTGCAAATTGCTGATTGTCCACCCTGATCCAACGTTACCTTCAGCGTTACGCTCACCCCTTTCATAACACTGCCATAGAATGTTCCAGAACTGTCCAATATAATGTACTCAATCACAACTCAAATTGGTTCTTCAAAAAATTCTAAGCGAAAATCATCATGGATTGATGCTTCAGCCTAAGAATTGGAAAATATAAATTCATAACCGCTACAACGAAGTCAGCATTAACAACAACAAAAAAACCACTGACCCGTAACGAAGACGATATATGAGGAAGAGTGGGCGAAACTAGCTCAGAAGAAACCTCATGAAGTTCCAGAATGACGTCGTGCAATTTTTTCCGGCCACTTCCTACTAATTCACATTCCCGTGGAAAACCTCCAGATAGTAGTGATTGTGTTAATAACTGTAAATACCATAAAAGTCACAATTCATGGTATTCACCACTTACACTTACTGATTGAATAGCAGCCTCAAGAGAGGTCTGAGTAACATGAATAATTTGACGAGCCATGTTGTAGGACTCACGATTGTTTAACTGAAGGAAAATGGCAATAAACTCCGTGACGGAATACTTCAATAGTAATATTGTTTGGAAAACTCTCACTACTCCTCATACATATCGATTTCGTCTATACAAACTTTTCTAGCAGAATGTTAAAGAAGAGCAGTACTACATACGATGTAACAAAAAATGAAAACCGAATTAATGAACCGTCGCAATCGAACCACATAATTTTTGTTGAAAAGAAATCTGGACCATAAATTATTATGAAGGGTAAATGGGTTTGCACCAAACCGCTCTACCGTATGATGCCAGGCCGGTGATGCCAAGTTATTGAAGTGTGCATCCATTCTGCACTGTGGCATGAAAAACCTTTCAAGAAAAGTACGATGATCTTGGTTCCTACTGAGCAAGGTGAACAAGGAAGCTCAAACAAGCAGCCTAAGAGAGCGCAAGAAACGAATGAAACCGTTGTATCTCATAGGGTGAGGTGATAATTACGGGTGTCAAAGGTAATTACAAAATAAACATTTTACCACTTGTAACAAAGTAATAGTAGTGAAGATCGATGATTGGATGTTTCAGCATAGATTGTAAATTAAAAAACGCTCAAACAATAACCTTCTGTGGGTTGATAAGGTAAAAGAACAGCAAATCTAGTATATCATCAGAGACTTGATCTACGTCTCTGAGTAGTGTGGATATTATCCCAATCAAAAACCCGATGACCTGAAATAGTGAGGACTAAAATCGGCTACATAGGAGGGACTAAAATAATCAATGTATACCACCACCAACCTTATCCCGAACTTCGCTTCGTTCTTCTCCTTCATCAGACGCACCTCCCTCTTCCGAGGCTTCACGGTTATCATTCTTCCACTCCTTACCATTTGCAATTTCCATTGCGGTTTTAATCAATGTACGAATTACCTCATTGGCCTCGTCATGAGGTAGCTCCAAGGCTAACACCAAAGTACTAACTACGCTAAGATTCTAAAAGACGAGAAGTAATTTCTGGAAATCAGAAGAAGAAAAAAGAACTACGAACCTCAACAAGGTAGAAATAACGACGAAATAAAGGATTTGATGGAGAATCCAGACCCCTCAAAGTTCGTACAATAAAGATCAGTACATCCTTGAAATCACCCATATGAGGAGACGACAGAAGGAAACAACAGTGAACTAAATGCGGCAAACTGCTCAAACCTTAAGTTGGGAAGGATCTCCAAGGGGAACGTTGGGAGCAAAGATACGGAAAATGTCAGCCAAGCAACATGCTAGCCAGATCTGGACGTCTTTGTTTCCGTTCTCCAGGAAACAAGCACTGGCCAGATGACATATGAGTGGGCCGTAGCGATCATGTCGATTGCACTCATCGTTAGTGTCAGACACCTGTAAGGCTTCCGACAAAGTCTGAAAATCATAAATGAAAAACTTCACGTTCCTAAGCAGTAACAAAATTGGCAGCAACAATATCACGAAATGGAAGAGTTAGTAGAGAGTTCTTACCTTTAACCTTTTCACTAAATCACTGGTTCCACAAGTAGTAGAAATTGGCAGACAGTTAGGAGGGTATTCAATTTCATTCCTCATTTCTTAAAATGATGAACTTCTGAAACATTTGGAAGATGTCCACTATGAAATGACGCTTCGGCTATGAATCTGAGGTCTCCAGACGGCATTACATGTTATTCTATTCGCACTCATCAAATTTCCCAGGAACTCTTGGATTTAACAATTTAGAAATCTTTGAACCATACTGAAACCTCAACGAATTAGAATCCAACGAACAATGAACCCAAGAACTAAAACTGATCTAAGTAAAACGCCTAACGACTATGATTGCTCGAAGGAGAAAAAGTATGAACTATACATGAACTTTAACCTATTATTTCCTGCCTACTCTTTTTTCTCAACGGCAGGGTATTTATTGCGAAATATAACTTTAATGCTGTTGACATATTTGCAAAACTCCGGACCGCAGGTGTATGCCGTCGTGAACGAACGTGTTAATGTATTTTTCCGGGGAGTAACGCGCTCACCACACCATGCGGGTCCTTCGTTAAAAAAAAGAGTAAGCAGTAAATAATAAACTAAAATTGTGATTATAACTGCAGCCTCAGCTTAACTGGGTTCGTTGCCGATTTGGTCTCCCAGATCAATCCTGCTGACGGGTGATTACTGACGGCAAAAGATCGATAGAACTAGCTGAGAGACAGGCGAAACGGAGGACCCGCATAGTGTGGTGGTGAACGTGTTACTCCCCGGAAAGGAGAATAGCGCGTTCGTTCTCCACTGCAGATACCTGCGGTCTAGAGTTCTGCAAATATCTCAACATCATTAAAGCTATACAAGAACTCCCAGTGGAGACCGTGGAACAAAGATCAAGCAAGCTCTGAACTTTGTAAGGAAGACTCCAGGAGCTGTTCGCTGGCCACGAGCTCTGAACGAACGAACTGCGTCTGGGAAGTGGGGAATCGCGCGGATTCCCGGATTCACCTGTGAATGGAGACGTCGCCGCGACTGTACAACTGACGCGTCTGCAGTGGAGCACAAATAGACATAGGAGCGTGATGACTTCAAAAAAGGTGGTCAGCGGAAACCGACAATCGAAAGTAACAGTGGGTCTATGTTAAAAAAAATAGATGTAGAGAGGAACTGACTTGCGGTTTGACAATTACAATTTTATATAGGATTGGGAATTTATATAGGAATGGGCGCGCGTGGAGGTCGAAGGCGCCCTGCAATACACATGGGACCGCTTCCCGCGCCCCAGGCCCACCAAACCCTCTCCATCCCTCCGGGGTCGGCAAATAGGTATCAGACCTGTTTAGAAGGATAGCAGCACTGGCTCGATACATCGGTTGGCCACCACGAGTCGAGTCACTGTAAAGGCCAGATATGCACCCATTCGCATCTAACGATGCTTAATGAAATAGAATGCATGGCGCATCCCTCAGGAATTGATGAACGTCGGCAGCTTTTGCTATTATTGTCTGCTATTCTATTTCTCTTTATTCTCTATTATTCTCCTCTGCTATTTCTGTCAAGTTGACCTTTCCAGGCTCTGAGGAAGGCGAAATCCGCCGAAACGTCAGCCTGTGCGTAAATAAAGAAATAAAATAGCACCTCGTGTTTGCTGAACAGAAGTAGAAAGATATATTCAATCAATGCCGAGGTTAATAGAAAGTCAGACTTGGGAGTCGACTTTGTCCTTTTTTATCTTTTATATAAGACTCAACTATTTAAGCACTGACTAAATAATTATTTAAGTGAAACATTAAGTTTCAGTAGGAATTTAAACTTCTAGTTTAGTGTTTCTATTCTTTGAAGTGTACACAAAGACGGATGAACATCTACCGGAGATAGGAACCGGGTATTCTCCTAAATCTTAACACTCACAATGAGAAATTGACCAAACACAATGTTGTTACTTTATCCTTTATTTAGGAACAAGCTGATGTTTCGGCGGATTTCGCCTTCCACAGAACCAAACAGCTCCATAACTAAACAAATTGCACAGTAAACCAAGATTTCAACCATACTGAACACACAGTCTTTCACTGAGTATTCGACGTGGAGACCAACCGTACAGAGTTCACTTGAATGGGTAATGTAGCGCTGTCATTAAAATATCAGTTTTATATGTATTCTTCCTTTAATAATCTTATACGAGGTTGATAAAGAGCTTTATTTAACATCTCGACGCCTTTGTCTTCATCAGAGCCGATGAACGACTTGATATGACTAATCAGTATTCAGTCTTTCATTCCACGAGGTCTGGTATCACGCGTGACTACTGGGCATTCCTCCCCGCAGTTCATTTTCGGATTCTTGGAATTCATCCAGAACGCTTCCAGAGTTTTGGGAGTCGAAGTATTCGGTTCCTCTCTGAGGATCGTCACTTCCTCTTCAAAATCTTCTCCCTCGTATATGTACATTACAAGCATGCAAGGTCTACTCGTCCCAATGTATAGGCAAACGTAGGAGCAACTAGTCCTTCATTTTCACTGGGAATGAATAAGAAGCATTTTCTTAGATTTCCGTTGTCGCCATTCCTCTTTTGTGTGGTTCTTTTCAGTACATAACATTTCCACACCTGTCGCTATGAGTTTTGCGATTTTTCTTCCATCTTTCATTTATGTTCAGTTCTAAACGACAATGAGTATGAAAGCAATAAGAAGAAAGAAATGCTCGACTAGAAAACTTTGTTTTGCCACAAGTCCGTACCACTAAAAGTTTATACGCTTTGAAGTGGTCCTCTTCCATAACGAATCAGCAGAACTTTCTAATCTAGCCGAATGTATGATTGGGAAATGGAACACTTTTCCATAAGCATGCTGAACAATTGAACAATCGAGAACAATTGCTATGACCGACTTGTTCCGATCATTGATCAGTAAGTGGACGTTTTCTTGATCAACAAGAACAACTGCAACCATGGTAACAACCAAGAATGACTACGGAGTGCAATCAGTACAATAAAGGGACCATAAGTACAATTACAGTAATATAAGATGGAAAAAGTAATGATTTGAAAGAATCTATCTGTTTAGCCACAATGGCGAGATAAGTTGCTCCAAAGCGATGGGCGCGACACAACAGCGCGCGTCACTCTTTCGTATCTGGTTTCCTGCGGGATCTTCCACTTTGCTTTGAGGGTGTTCGCTACTTTGTTGATTTCATGTGCATATATGAGGGTATCACCTAATTTGTTAACCATGCTGTTTGCTTTCTTAGTGGAAATTGCAGTAGAGACCTTTTCGTCACCGTTTTTACGGCGGTACTCTTGAAGCCCTAAGGTTTCTTTCTCACAAAATCGATGTTGACAAAGGGTTTCCTCCTCCATGTGCTCGTTTTTCTCTTGATCCGTTCTTCTCGAAACTTTGAAGATACTCTTCTGTCGTTTCGGGTCACAGTAATTTATCAGCTGCGTCGCTTACTAATCACTTTGATCGTCGAATGTCTGAAGCGTATACTACCTCCGGTAAAGCTAACATTCTAGCCATCCGCTTGCCAAAGAAGCAGAATACTCATGGACGGCTTACCAGGCTTTGTTATAGGGCTGTTCGAGAATATACATGTATTGTTGGCATTAAAACCCATGCTATAGATTGTGTTCTGTGACAGCATCAAAAAAACCCTGTATGGCAAACTCGTACAAAGTTGAACACTATACTTCGAGCTAATAATTCGGTGCCGAAGGTTAACTCGAAAACCTGTATTCCACTCCAGCAGCTAATACAGCCTCAGAGGCAGACTCAACCATATTGATCTCATATTTTTCAGGCATTGCATGTAAGCTTTTTTGACCAGTTCCATCGTACATCGTTTATGCTCAGTTGGAACAAGTAACGCATATCCTTCTGCAACTGTTTGAGTTATGTGCATCGTCGCTTTTGGCCGCTTTTTTCCTTACGCATGCTGTGTGAGTACTCGCCGCATAACACCATGGCTAACTGTTATGAGTCATGTCATATCAGCTTTACCGAAATATGTATATATATACATATATATATGTATGTAATATATATGTATGCACATATGTGCGTATGTATACGCATGCATGTATGCATATATGTGTATATATGTGTATATATATATATATATAAAGGGTAGAGCTCTAGGCGTTGATCGCTCTCTGAGGGATGCTCCATGCATTCGACTTCATTAGGCATCGTTAGAGATGATCGAACGCATAACTGGCCTTTGCAATGACTCGTTGTGACCTACCGATGTATCAAGCCAATGTTGCTGTCCTCCCAAACAAGCATGGTACCAATTTGCCGACCCCGGCGGGATGGAAAGCTTAGTGGGCCATGGGCGGGTGGAACAATCCCATGTGTATTACAGAGCGCCTCCGACTTTTGCGCCACACACACTCTTGTTTACCTTTGCAGTCTAGAAATCGTGGTCCTTGATCAGATCGAGCGAAGAGTTTATTATTATTGCTAATTTAGTGGTCAATTCTGATCGGAAATCTGCGAAGGAGATTACTACATGCTTTTCAGATTTATATGTGACTTTCTTGTTCTTTCGTCAAAGTGCAATTACTGTTCAAGAATGGGAGACGTCATTGACTGGGGAGCTTCGGAGCCGCCGAATCGCTATGTGTTGGCATTCGGTACTAGTCATTGTTTAGTTGAGCAGGATTACGACCGTTCGATTTATGGTGAGTGTGAGTATATTGGAAGCAGGACTCTAATCAAGTGTAAAGCTGTTCGCAAAAAAGCTGATCTGAAAGCAAATGGTGGAATATGCGAAATGGTAGGTGTTTACTGTTCATCGTTATCCAGTACTCTTTTGATGCTTCCTAGTTAAGCTTATCAGTGAACGAACTGTTTTATAGCACAAATCCTTCCATGACTCGATCAGGAACAGGTTTTTGTGCGAAGATCGTCGTCTAATGCAAGAAAATGGCCAAGGCAAATTGAAATATTCTCCTTTTCTCAATCAAGATGGCTTAATTTGGTAAGATGAGTTTCATGGTCATTATTGTTGGAGTCTCTTTAATTAGTCTATGTGATTGGTTGCAGTGAAGAGCATCCCTGGTTGATGCCTAGTTACCGTTGGGAGTCGCCTCTGAACCGTTCCATCTTCGACCATGCTCCCGATGATGACTCGTTGGCTCCTTTATGGTATACCAACTAGTAGTGTCATTTCCTGGTTTTTTATGTTTTTTTTCTATTTGAAGGAATGCACGCGTTTACACCGAAAGAGATCTGCTGAGATTAAGAAAGATCTTATCAGAGAAGAGAGTAGAATATCTGAGACTCCACGCAGAGATGATTGTGGAAAGGGCTCGACGTCGAGCAAGCGACCTTTTCAGTAAAAACGGAAAATGTATGGTTTGATGAGTTTTCATATACTTTTCTTTGTCGTTATAAGATTATTTTTGCTTTTTTTTTCTTAGTGCTCACAGTTGGAGACACATCAGCAGCAGTCGTGGCAGCGTGTTCTTCTATTGATGACTATGGAGTAATTAGTAAAAGAATAGTTGCATCTCAAAAGGCACAGGTCTGATTTTGAAAAGTGGTTGGAGTTTCTCTTCTGTTTTGCAAATTTAATAGCACAGTAAGTACTTTCTTTCACTTTTCATTGTGGTTTAGGACGTATACTCTCATAATATTAGCACGTGGCAAAGCTCGTTTTACTGTTTAAATCTTTCGTGATATGTATTTTGTTACTTTTTAAAATAAGATTGTGAAAACCGCTTAAAATTTTACAAAATGTGCTGGGCCCTATTTGGCCAAAATACCTTGTTGTAATAATATTTACAAAACCTTTTTTGCCCAATTGTTATAAGTAGATGTGTTGCAGACTTTGTTCTACAAAATTTAGTAACTAGTAGAGGTAACTGGCAGAATAATTATCTGCGAAGATTCATGTGATTCAAATTGATCTTTCATGGTGGTCTAAGATATTTTGTTGGTGTAAACAGATAAATCATAAGACAACCTGGATACGTGTTTGGTTCCCTCTTGCACACCTCAATGGCCCAATTTCCACTCAGCACATATTTTTCTGCTAACGAGGTTCTCTTCTTTAGAATCCTCAGGAAACCAGGGTTTCCTTCATATACGACGGTCGTCGCTGTTTATAGACTGCAAGATTTGCCTCGTTATGATTAGTTTGCTTTCAAAAGTCGGTAATTTTTGGTAGAAATTTGTCTTCTGCTGGGTTTTCGGATAAACTTGGTCTGAAAAGCTTGAGCGAACTCCCAGAAGTAAATATCTATTGTTCATCGCAGCTTTTCGCCTAGTAACACTGTGAGGTGGTTGATCACCAAACAAACGTGATAAATACGTTAAACTATTGTATTCAGTTTTTTCCACCTTGAGCATCATTTCGATCCAGGGATAAAAATGAGTGAAGACAAGTCCTGAACGAAAACGGAAATTTTAGGAAATTGTGGACTATACCATGTTCATTTAGTGTTTACTCTTTATCTCTGAAGAGCTTCAGTGATTTATAGTCTCACCATTTTTCTAAGTTTCGATGTGCAGCACAAAATTTAACGTCCGGCAGAGTATTGCAAAGTGAAGGTTTCGAAAGCTTTTATACTCTGATGTACTTCCTTGACGTTCAACTAAAAATAATTCAACAGCAAAATTCATCGTCGTAATGCCAGCAGCCTCGTCGTAAATTAGCAGATCTCCATCCAGACCACCACGAGCTGTGATTACATGTGAATCCAGTGTAGAAATGACTTGGAATCTGTTTCCAAGACGAAATATCAGTGGAGTATAAATTGTTCTCGTACGTACACTATTGTTAGCAAACGTAAGCCATTCATTCATTTTTCCGTTTGTGGGTAACGCATTGGCTAGAGGAAACATTCAATACCCATATGGTTGTTGGTTCGACCCCGAACCCTGAGCACACAAAGCGCTCCATTACTCTAGGGTTTGTATCAGACTTGTTCGGCAGAAAAAAACGCTGGCGTAATTCATAGGCACTCTTAACCATTGGTTAGACGAAATACATATTGAATCACCCCTACGATGCTTAATGAGATCGGATGCGTGCGGCATCCGTAAATGATTTATTAACTTTAAGTCCCTTTTTCGTTTTGTTGTTCTTTTTCTTCTTTTCACAAAATGACGAGATAATCACTAAGTGAATGTTGTTTTACACATTCACTTGTAATTTTCACCAAGTGCAATCAAAATTTTTAGGGAAAAAGGTCTCATGATCAACGTAGACTTTGTTCATTTGGTAAATTACGAAAAATTTCCACTGAGAATAATGATCACGTGACTATTTCGTCTATTATCCACTCAATTCTGGACTGTATTGCAGACGAGAAGATTGATTTTATCAGCTACGGGAAAGTACAGAATTCTAAAGGTTGGTAATTCTTCACAATTTCGTCTTTTTTCTCTTAGAAAAAACGAGATCAACATTTCGACAAACCCACCTTTGAGATTTCCTGAGCAATTTTTATCTCAGAATCCACCGACAATACACCTGGAGTTGGTAGTGAGAATGTTCCTCAATGTTTGGAACCTGCAGTGCCGCTTACAATGTTCTGCATTTCGCGTAAGATATCTTGTTTGATCTTTCTAATTAAAGATGCGTAAACCTTTGTTTAGACCAAATGCTGGACGAAAGCCAATTACTGTTTGTTCCATGCAGTTCATGTCATTCTATGTGCGCAGATATCAGATCTCCACCATTGTGCGGGAAACATTTGAGTAGGTGTTTCAACTTTTCTTATCCGTGTTTGTTGAAGCGTAAACAGTTCTGACATATGTTTTCTTAGGAGATATTGGTCGTGCGAAACGTGCTTCTCTAAGGGACGGTCGAATGCCGATTTCTCCTGCTGTTAATGTATCAACTGGAGTTCCCACTACTTCCACTTCTTCGAAGATTAAAGGTGTGTGTGTGTGTGTGTGTGTGTGTGTTTCTTCGTTGTTTTAATCTTGCTAATGCTACAGTATATGTGTACACATATGTATATGTATGTATGTACATATATATGCATATACATATGTCCACATAAATATGTACGTGTATACATGCACAGGCAGGTTTTGTCTACATATATACATATGTATATATATTTGTATATATGTTATGTACCTGACATCACACATGGTGCGGATTGTGCAGTTAAAATGTTTTAGAACTGCTAAATTTGTAACTAAGATTTTGTAGGGCAAACACATATGTATGTACATATATATATATATATATATATATATATATATATATATATATATATATATATGGCCATATGCATGAATTTGTAGATTTGTATGCGTGTGAATGTGAATATATGTACATACATGTGCGATGTTTAACCAAGTTATAATTTAGCTTTTAATGATCCTTCGAAACCCCTGTTTGGATTGCCTTCCAGCCCCAGTTCTGCTCCATTTTTATCAACATCTCTGGCAGATAAACGAGGTCATAAGGTACGTATTGAAGTCCTCTTAAGTTGCTGTAAGATGTATGATATTATTCGTGGTCGTGGTAACGTGCCTTAACGTTTATATTCTCTTTATAAACTTGATGAGATGACTTGTTTTCTTAATTGAGTCTGTTTCCAATTCACCGCTTCCGACGAAGATAACTCGTGGGTTGTTTTGCTACACATGAGCGTGTGACCTCCTTACGGACGAGACTGTATTTGGCCCACTTGCTTACCTAATATTCTTTGTGCGAAGTAGCAATTTACAGCGAGTCTCTGTCGACGTTCAGACAAAAGAGGAGGCTGAGGAGATTTTCAAGCGCTTCAGGTTGGAGGTAAACACTTTCAATCCTTCATTTAAACTACACGTTTTCTGTATATTTGTATGTAATGTTGGGGACATTTGTTAAGGCACCTGCTCAGCTTTCTCTGACGGAAGCAATAAATCAGCGGCAAGCTCCCGCAGTTCTAGAGGCTATCAGGCGTGCGGAGTTACGTCGCAACAGAGAAGAGGCATGCAGCTGTTCGAGGTTTGTTACTCGTATTTCATCATGTTTTTTAATTCGTTTGTTTATTTTCTCTCTTAATTGTTTTACCATGGATGAAAGACGATAGAAATCATTGGAAACATAGTATAATAATAAAATAGCTAATATTGTGTGTTTAATTTTCCCTTAAAGAATCCGACCTTTTGAACGCACCCAGTTTCCTCCGAAGTCTTCAGTGCCTCGTAGGATTAATACTATTAGTCGTCCTGCAGTGTCGGTTCGACGACCCTTTCCCATCGAAGGTGCTCCTTTGCAGTCGCCGGTTAGTTTAAATATTTACAGAGTTTGACTGCTTTACAAAATAACAGAGTCGTTTGTTAATTGCTTCTTTGGCAACAAATTATTTGTGGTTCGATAGCATTGGTGTTCGACGGTACCATGCAACTTCTATACTTGAACAGTTTCTTCTTACTTACTGGTTAATTTGTTGGTCACGATGCAAGCCCATAATGCCAGTTGTACTCCGCATGTCCGTCATCACGCCGGTTCCGATTCATTGCAATATCGCCACCTATCAGCTTTACCTCCCAGAAGATCGCAGCCAACCCATCGCTTTTTAGTAAAGGTTGGTTTTCCATCATTTTGTTCTAATTGAATTCGTCTTCTATACCATACAGCTCTGTTTATCCTATAAAAACATTGCATTTCGTTCATTTTTTCTAATATATGCTAATCTCTTTGTATGATTATTTAATTTAGTGTCTTAAATTGCCCTGTCACGCTTCTGTTTCATAGGCCCAGCAGCCTAGCGGTTTCTGTGTGCCTGACGCTTCATCTTCATCGACATTCACCGCTATTGATGAAGTTGGAAATGTTGGTTTGACTGTTTTGACTATTACGTTCTCAATGATGCTGAGATATTTCCCAAACTACAGACCGCAGGTGTCTGCTGTTGGGAACGAAAGCGCTATTGTCCTTTCCGGAGAGTAACGCGTTCACCACCACACCATGCGGGTGCTTTGCGGGCGCCTGTCTCAGCTAGTTTTATCAGTCTCTGCCGTCAGTGGGATTGATCTGAGAGTGGGGGACAAATCGGCAACGAACCCAGTTAAGCTGAAGCTGTAGTTATAATCACAATTTTAGCTTGTTATTTACTACCTACTCTTTTTAATGGCAGGGTATATATTGCGAAATATAACTTCAATGATGCTGAGATATTTGTAGAATCAATTCTGCTGACGGCAGAGATCGTTAGAACTAGCTGAGAGACAGCCGAAACGAAGGACGCGCATGGTGTGGTGGTGAACGCGTTGCTCCTCGGAAAGGGCAATAGCGCGTTCGTTCCCAACAGCAGACACCTGCAGTCCGGAGTTTTGCAAATATCTCAGCATCATTGAAGTTATATTTTGCAATATATACCCTGCCATTAGAAGGAGTAGACAGTTAATAATAGGTTAAAATTGTGATTATTACGTGCTCAGTTTTCTACGTCGGAATTGTTAATGAGAACCTTTTTCTGCAGGAAGTTTTGATCGAAGATCGTCGTACTCCTCCATCTTCGCAAAACACACAAGGAAATAACACTACCAAAGAATACACGGGACGCCCTACCGCGCCACCTCATTCGCGTCGCTTGATATCATCTTATAGAAGGCAGATAGCTGGTGCGATGTGAGTAATAATGTTTCCAAATTTTGTTACCAACTCAGCAGATGGAAACTGATCGAGAATCAGATAATTACTACATCAAAAAATCTCTGGCATATGCAGATCCAAAGCGAGTATACTTGAAAGAAATTGTGGAAACGTCTTTGGTTCATGTTAACATCCTTCTTACTTAGTTACTTCGATGGCCCGTCTTCACTTGTTGTGCGGACCCAGCATACTTTCTGCTTTTTGGAAGTTTTCCTAGTTTAGCCATTCTGATTCCCTGGAGTCCCGAGATCAGCCTAGCCGAAGTCTACCCGAAGTCTTTGCCACCCCAGGCAGTCGTTGCCTTTGTGGATCAGAGGGAGATTTGCCACCATGCGACTAGTTTGATTCCACGACTGTGGTGGACCCTGGTATTGGTTTACGCTCAACTGGGCTTTCTGATGGAAACACAGGGCTCCTTCTCAACGTGAGGGATCCTGCCAGTGGAATGAATTCTCCTCACTGCGCATCGCAGCCCGACACGCAGGAACACCTCCCAGCCACAATGAGGCGGTAAACCGTTGTGAGCATTAATATCTTTTAGTCTTTTTAATTACATATTTCGAAATGAGCGGTTTAAAAGCTTGATATTTTTTCTAGAAAGAAGTGGATTTATCGCAGATGATGGTAGGCAGTCTATAGAAGAAATGTATAGGAATAAAGTAGCAGTGATTTTTTGGTGCAGGCGTAAAACTCTGAACCACAGTTTGACAGATTTTAGTTCTTCAGGCTTTTCATATATTATGCATTGTTCGACACGTCACTATAGTGGAATATTGCTCCTAGGGACATAGAGTGCGAAAACGACAAAAGTTCTCTTCAAATAAATGGTAACTGAAACCGGAAATCTATCAACTGGCAAAGCTAAACGTGATAATAACTTGTTAGTTTCTCATAGCGATTAAAATAGCTTATAACGCACAAAGGTTTCTTTGACGAATTGTTTCTGATGGAGCGGTTAGGGTAGAAATCAGCTGAGAGAAACCAAAGGAAAGACCTTGGTGGTGCAGTGGATAACACGTGATTCTCCGGAAAGGGTATTCGATGGTTCGAAACTTAACTATGGGTCTGAGTTTTGCTCATATTTCAGCTTTTTTGTGGTTATATTTCACATAGTACCCTGCCATGGCAACAGTAGACATTGTATAACACTTGGGTATTTTTAAAGGAAAAAACTTGAAATAATGACTGTATCGATGATAGTGGAGTACGGCAGTGTTTAACGAGAAAAAATGCCACCTTCTGGTGCTTAGCAGCATGTTGTCGTGTACCTTACCAAGTAAATTCTACTGCTTCTCTCTTGCTAACAGATTCAAGAAATATGTTGCTGACTAAACATTTATTTACCACTTTATAGACTACGACATCCACTCAGTATTCAACATGTTGGCGAGGATACATCACACGGAGACGTGCCGAGAGCTCACTCAGTATTACCGCCACCACCTGATCCACCAATATTACCGCTTTCGTATGATTTATATGTTCTTGAATACGGCAACAAGAACTTCCATTATAGTTCTACATGAGTTAGCCAAATTTTCATTTGACTTGCACTTTGTTATTTGGCTAAGGCTCTTGATCCAGAATTCAAAGATACTCGCGCTAGCACATTCCGAGGTATTCGCCATGGACATTTGTCTGTCTTCGTAAAGGGAATTTCATATATATATATATATATATATATATATCGCTTAGAGATGCGTGTAGCGCAGTGGTCGGAGGCAACCGTATTACACATGAGATCGATCCTTGCGCGCCAGGCTCACCAAGTCTTCCATCCTCCTGTGGTCTGCATAATGGCGGCAGACGTGTCTGGGACGATGGCAGCACTGACTCGATACATTGGTAGTCGCCGTGAGTCATTGCAAAGGTCAGATATGCATTCAATCACCTTTAACGATGTTTAATGGAACCAAGTGCATGACGCATCCCTTAGGGATTGCTCAAAACCGAGAGTTTTATCCCTTATATATGTATATATATATATATATATATATATATATATACTCTCTGTAATTTCTACAAGAAATGAATACAGGAAGAAAGCGTATAGAATGGAATCTTATTTAAAATTATTATAGGCACAAGCGTTAGTTTTTCAAACCACAGGGGAACAGGATCAACTGGTTTTACCAACAACTCTTGTGGAATACAGTACTTAATTTCTCATATTCCCTCTTCAAATTCTTCAGAAGTTGTTGGTTTGATAGAGTAAACGTGCTCCTTTAACCAATCTCAAATAGAAAATAGTCTGAGCTTCTGACTGGCCACTTATACGGACAACGTCGATACATTCATCTTCCAGTGAAGTTGGCACTCTGCCATTCACGAACAAAAATGGAAATATATGTTTTCATGACTATTTTTGGTTGTCTTTACGTGAACTTGAGCATGTTTTCCGTTAATCGACCTCTACTACCTCTGAAGTTGAAAAATAGGTTTCCAAATTTTTCATAGTGCGATTCTAACTGGGCACGCTGTTGCAGGTTAAGACGTCCAGCCATGTCTGCAGGGCTTCCAATTTTCAAATGAGATAATGGATATGAAGAGATCCAATTCCTACTCATCAAGCAACATACGCAGAAAATGAAGATGACTACAATTTAGAAATAGTGTATTATATATACATATATATATATATATATATATAT